TGAAAATATAATTACAATAAAATAATAAAAATGTGATATAACCATATGAAAGAACCAGACTATTATTTTCTATTTTCAGGAATAGATACCAACTGAAAATTGAAAAAGTGAGTTCGTGACTTGAAACTATATTATTCTCCAAAATTTAATCCTTTTATATCCGTAAAGATTCGTTCTCAATTCTTTGCTTTCTCTAGTTGATCCTATAGCAAAAGGATTCAAAAATGTTATCATTTTTTATTGTAACTTTTTTTGAATATAAATTCGGAGATCATGAGCTTACTTACAAGTAAATTCGAGATAACTTTATGGTAACTTTATTGATAATTTGTTGATCTTATAAGTTCTACAAATTATTTACTGCATTGTACAATAAATATCATTTATTACACTCTTACATGAGCTACTTACTTTGGTATTAAAATTTATCTAAGAAATTTAACACTATTAGCTGTCATATGAATTAGATCTGATTGATCTATCATAAATTAATGTTAAAGAAGCACATTTTTTATATTGTTTATTAAAATAAAATTAAGACGATGATGGTGATTAATATTGAAACGTTACTAAAGCTTCTTCAATACAGTTAATAATTTTTTAAACTAAAGTTGAATCAGACTGGCATCGTTTTTACCCAATGAATTATAAATAATTTTAATAACGATTTTATAAATTAATTCTTATTTTATTGATATTAAAATACTTATTGATTAGTCAAATTCAACATTAATGATATATTAAGTAAAAAATATTACGATTAATGAAGATTTCAATATCAAATCTAATTTATCATTTATCATTTTCTGCATAAGATTGTTCTTTTATATGATACAAAATTTGATACCTAAACTCTGAGTTTACACTATTAAAGAAACTATTACTAATTTTGTTATATAACTTAAGAAGCTTATCGATTCTGTTTCATCCCTGAAAAAATTTCTTTTGGAATATCAAGTTGCGGAATTATTAAGTTACGTGGAGTCTGCAAAAGTAAGCTTTATATTAGCAAAATCCAATCTCAGTGAGTTTTAATGGCTCGTCCATCGATCCAACTAAGTTTGCCAACTTCGATCTGGAATATTCGGGTTAGAGAAAATAAAGAGAAAAACAGCAATGCAGTAAGATTTGATACTTGGCACACTTTCGTGGAGAATAGAATAGTACGTCTCAAGAGAATTATCAACAAAAGAGTTGTAGCAAGCACGTAATCACAAATGATACTCAATGCAGTTATCAGCGAAAGCCAAACATGATTTCGATAAATAAAATGCAGTATTATAAAGAAAAAATTCCTGAGCAATCTAACGATGTCTTGAAAAGAAGAAAATGGAAGAGAATTGAAATTGAGAGAAAAAGGAGAAGAAAAAAGCACAATATTTCTAAATTCCAAATAAATATTATTATAAATATACTATTGAATTACACAAAATAAGATATTTCGAGTTCATTAAAAAATATTTCTGGGACTTTTGTTGTTAATATCAAAAAAATACAAAAGTTAATGCTTAATATGATTTATTTCAAGAAAATAATTATTCTACATAAATTATGTTTTAATTTTAAATATTAGAGAAATCAAGAGCAAAACTTAAATAACAATAATTGATTTTTTTAGATTATACATAATAAATTCCATAATTTTACATCTTTATAAATTATTACAATTTTTAGAGATGCTGTCTTATCTCGGTTTCTTCCGCCATAAAGAACCAAGACAATGTCTATGACTTCATTCCTTGCCCAAATTTACATCTTTTTTATTCAATTAAATGAATAGAGGGATGTAAGCGAACATGGAATTTCTGTACATATTGATTGATAGCATTTTATATAAAAGATATTTTTTCACATTCAGTCACTTTGTATGAGGTTAAAAAGATCCTGCATGAATGTAAACATTTTTTCTATTTAAACGTAAACTCCTTATGTAGTACATATTACTACATAAAGAGAGTAAAGTTTATATTGCCACGGTGTAGTTTTTACGCTAGAGAAGTATATTTTTGCTCTCAATTTACGCTACATCCTCCGGTTATTCTTTATTGTAGAGTAATTTTCGAACGAAAATTTTCTCCATGTATCAATTTGAGTAAAAAAATGAAATAAAATAATCAGAAAAAGTATACATCGATTTTAAAACTTATGTAAAATAAATTCAAGTAGAGAATTGATGGATCTAAGTCAAACAAACATTGAAAAATGTCAAGAAAGTTTTGGAGAAGAAGAAAGTACAGTGAAAAATGTGAATTTGTCATACTTATAGAGCTATTCTATTTTTCCTATCATGATCAGAAAGTAAATTTTATTGATAGTGTCATTATTTCAGCTCGGCACAGAGACGCCCCCGCCCACATTTTGTGCACGGTACGTATACACATAGTTAAGTCGAACGATCTGTCGATGGCAAACAACCTAGTAAATCAAACAAAAACAAGTAAAGCAATTGAAACCATCAAATCTTCAACTTACTTGTGTACCTCATTTTGATGAATCATTGATGCTTCTTCAAAGCATTATTCGCCTTTAGATTTAGAAAAAAAAAGTCATCATTTGTATTTGATTATAGTAATTTTTATTTATGAAAAACAAACAGCTCCATGTCTGCGCCAGTACTAAATAAAGTTTAATTAGATTGATCCAATGCATTATACTTTGATGCAACATGTTAGGCTAAGAATAAGCCAAGTTGGTTTCTTATTAGGACATTCAAACATTTTATGAATATAAATTATGTTAAAGTATTACCTCAGTAAGAGAAAGAACTAAGGGAATACTTTTTTAACTTTGTATAAGAGTCTAGCGTGTCAAACCTCGTCAAATGCTTGCTCTGTCAAGAAAGGATGTACAATACAATTTTCCTTTGAGTAAGTATGAAATCAGATTTACTATTCTGTACAGTTGTTCTACGGTTGAATATTATCTCCTAAAGCCGAACTGGTTGTTGATGATGATTTTGCCTTCATCTATTACTAGAGTTAGTCTTTAAAAAGTATTTTTTTCAAGACTTTTAAGAATACTGGGTATTTAAAATATTGTCAAGATAAAACTCCCTGTCAGGGGAAATTCAATTCCTAAAAACAGTCAAAAAATTAGATGAGAATTTGAATGATTGTTAAATTATAATAGCAGTATTTTTTTCTATTACATGGATTCTTGACTTCTCTATCATCTTTAGTTTTCGTTATAAATATTTATCAACAAAGTGTTGTTGATGTTATAGTCTTCTTGACTTCGATAGTTGGATAATATTTATAAAGACAATGACATTGTGAGATAAACAATTACTGTTATTAAAAAAATACAGATAGAATTATAGATTGCGTTAAATTTACCTTAAAGAATTGAAAGAATCCTTTGATAATTATCTAAATTTAAGAATTACAAAGCAGAAATAATTATTCTACGAGAATCAGTAATGAATATTATTATAACTTTATGGTATCAAAGTATTATTCGCCATCAAAGGAGGTGTTAATCTTGTAGAATTTTAGCTCCAAGGGTGGAATTTAGTGATATAAGCAGTTTGGAAACTTTGATCTTTCAGGTAAACAATGGTCTAAGAAGCCAATGGGTTTTAGGTAAATAACGTCGGTCAACAATGTTAATAGAAAATTGAAATATAATTATCGATTATTCTGTTCCACAGTTTGATAGTTTTATTGAAAAATATAATAGCTATAATTTTTTATAAACAAAATAACTGAAAATTATTTCATAAAAATGAAACTTTGATCGAATTGATTTTTTTAATTTGATGAATGAATTATTTAGAAATACGAAATTTAACTAATGAACATCAGTTTAAGCTGCATTTTATAATTAATTATAAGCCTCTAAAAAGATAAGCTTATTAGAGCTTTCATAGTTTCAGTTGTAATTAATTTAAATTAGTGCATCTGAACATGGAAGATTAACTGAGCATCTCAAAGATATCAAACTAGTTTGAATTTGAATCTTAATTGCTAGTGTTCGAACAGTGATGCAAGTAAATCATTGAGATATGACATTCTGTCAGAAAATATATCGAAACTATATTGATATGTAGGATCTTAATCTCCTAGCTTAGTGCCAATTAAGGGGATGTTGATTGCAAGATTCAGCTAGTGTATAATTATAATCAGTGATCAATCCAACTAAAATATGATTTCAGATGTTTTTATTTAATTAATAAATGCTTATTTCAGAAAGGCAAATATTTTTGAATCAAATATTTTCTATCTTCATGTCGAAACTTATGGTTTAATCGGTGCCTGTAAGAATATATCTACAAAAAAAAAATGAATTTCTCTGTAATGTTGTTATATTTGAAATATTTATATTTGAAATTCTTCAAACTAGCATACAACTGCCATCTGGCAGGTTCCAAGGTAGTTAATTCCACTATTTGGATCAAGAACGTCTGAAGATACGTCATTTTAGAACTTTATTTAGGGAAGCCCGGTCGGTTTACTTCTCTCTTGATGGAAAGTAGCACCACTTTCAATATTTATGTACGCATTTATTTTTTTATTCAATGATTTGAGGGAATGGTCTGATGTTAATGTTCGACAATTCATTCTCTTTGTCTTTATGTTGAGGAATGTAGTATTAAATCAAACACACCGGAAATAAATTTTTCAACTATTGAAATATATACATATATCATAATTATATAATATTAAAAAATATATTAAAAAATGTTTTTTTAAGTACGAAAATGATGCAAGAATTGCGCAAACTTAGTTTAATGAGCACGAATTTTGATAATCAAAATTTGTACTTTCCGCACTGCAGCATAAAATAAGCTTTAATTTGGGACTCAAATTTTTAAATAAAAACATAAATTCGCGGAGAAATTAGAAACATACGATCCAATGTATTGAGATAGGAGGAATCAGTCAGCTCCATTACTTGAGCCCAGTCTTAATTTTTATTATTTATCATCTGATGATAGAAGAGAATAAGAGAAGTTTTTCCTCTGGATTTTCAAAGAGGTCGTTAGTTGTTAATTACAAAATGTCAGCGTAATCAATGTTTTTCTTGTTGAGTTAACAAGAATTTAAAACTTTTGTTTTTTTATAACTTGTTTAAAAATTGACAATATATATTTAACTATCAATAGTTAAAAATGGGTTTATTCTTTTCAAAGAAAAAACCTCAAAGCCGAGTAACGGAACACGATAAGGCAGTATTAGTAAGTACACATTAACAAAAAAGCTACCATAACCTTGATTGAAAGTTCATTGCAATAATGTTTTATTCAACTATTTAATGTTATTAAATCTTTATATCTTTTTTTTATGTTTCTTTTTAAGTAACAATATGAGAATAAATAAATAATGAATGATTCGTATCCACTTTTAAAGATTATTTTTACATTCTAGCAATTAAAGCAAGCGAGAGATAAGATAAAACAGTATCAAAAAAGAATTGAACAAAATATTGAAAAAGACAGAGAATTAGCCAAAAAATTGATCAAAAATGGGAGAAAAGAGTAAGTAAAATTCATTATACATTGTAGAATATTATTTCTGATAATATCAATTGAAGTTTAAGAAGCCATTTTAATTATAAATGTACTTGTATCAAGTTAATTCATTATTTATGAATCAAATCAAATATCTATGTTAATTGTTATTATTTGATCTACTTCATTAATAGCAGAATTATTTTTTATCAACAATAATCTAACAATAAATCTTTAGTATTATAATATGATATTCAAATCTAATTACACAATAACTCTAAGTAATTTTAAAACATCAATGAATGCTTATTTAATTTACAGACGAGCTCTTTCTCTTTTGCGTAAAAAGAAATTCCAAGAACAAGTACTCTCCAAGACTGATGGCCAATTAGAAAATCTAGAAAGAATGGTTCATGATTTAGAATTTGCACAAATTGAAACTAAAGTTATTGACGGTCTAAAAATAGGCAACATTGCTTTGAAAAAACTACACGATATTCTGTCGATCTCAGAAATAGAAAAAGTTATGGACGAAACAAAAGAAGGCATAGAAAAACAACGAGAAATCGATGAATTAATATCTGGAGAACTGACTGCAGAAGATGAAGACGAAGTTGTAGCTGAACTTGATGCATTGTTTGACCAAGAAACCACAGAAACAATGCCTGAAGTTCCAGAGAATGTGTTACTGCCTGATGTACCTGACGATGAAGTTAAAAAAGAAAAGAAAGGTAAAATAATCTTATCTACTTTACAAAATTATTTATTATATAAATAGTAAAGAAGACAAAAGTTTCCATTATGTCATAATTTTTTTTAATATCACAAAAACGTTGAATGTAAATCAGTATTTTAGTATTCTTTATATCAAGTTAATATCCTTGACTAAATTCTTCGGTTGTTATAAGTCTCGGTTTACCTCCAAGATCAGAGATACGAAAACAACAAAAAAAAAGATTCATAATTCTATGTTACCATAAAAACTTCATGCATCAATAGTTATCGTTTTCTTCAAGTACTAAACAATGATTCTGAATCCCGATGAAGATTAATGAAAATATATTATTTTATACTATTTACCAATCTCAAGATACTTTCAAAAGCTGACTTCTTTTATACCTAAACAACTATAACTTTTATAATTATTATTCCAATCAAGAATGATTATTTTATTTAATGTATAGAAACATCTATGTTTTCATAAAAAATTATTAATAATCTAACACTGTCTTATTATGTTTACTAGTCATTAGTTACTTATTGATTTAATTTGATTTTCTGAAAATTTAATTGAATAATCCTCGGTCTAAAGTAGTTTAGTACATACGAAGTATGAAGAGTGTGTATGAATGGAAGTGTATTATATGATTTAGTGAAAAAATGTATCTTCAGTGTGAATTTTTAATGTAATATCATTAACCATCTTTTTGATACATAACAGTTTTTTATAAATGTTTAATTCATTTGATTATCATTAGTGTCAAAACCAAATATATGTACTTCACTGTTTTATATAAGACTTGCTATTTAATAATTTTATGTGTTTCTAGAACGAGCGGGAAAAGAGTCTGAACCTGTTGCTCTTGAAGCATGAGTTATGATTGCATTTCTTCATGATTACACAAAATAGAAGATTTCAAAAGTTTGCGCAACGATGAATGTATATAATGTACAGTTTCAATATTGAAAAAACAAATAACTTATAAATAAATTTGTATAAGCACTGACTGTAATAATTCAGAGCTGAATTTTAACAATGTAGAACGGAGTTTTTATCAACTTCAGATGCCCAAAGAACTTGAGGTAATTTGAATAAATATTTAATTAATTTTTATTTTATTAATAAATTTATGAATCGATAAAAACTTTACATTTAATATAAATTATTTTAACAAATATAATTTTTAAGTGTTAAAAATATTTTTATCTTGAAAAATTATAATATAACAATTGTAACTATAATCTTTAATATAACTGTGATAAAATGATTATTAAAACTAGTATTTTACAAACCACAATTATCTTAAAAATATAAAGCTTCGTGTCATTTCGTGATAAATTTTCTATGTTTGCTAATAATTTTATTGCTATTGTTTTTATATTTCAATAATAAAAGAAGCAAAAAATTTTTTAAAAATTACTGAATAATTCAATATGATAATATTTCCAAAAAAATGGTTCTCAAATAATAGTGATGATTCAATTAAAACCGAGAATCATAAAAAATGAAATATAAAGCTTGAATATGTTAAAAGAATTTTAATGACTCATCGAATACCATTTTTATAGAATAGTCTTCTACGTCATGATCACTTCAACCTTGTGTCTTACTGATTGTCCTTGACAATTACTTAATCGTTCACTCACGTTAATTTACAATCACAATTCAAATATAGGATTTTCTATGTGCTTCTAATTTATAATAACGTGGTTGAGCAATTAAATAATAATTTTTTATTATTAATCATTATCAGTATCATTCGGTTAATATTTTTCTAAAAAATTTAATGATCATCAAGAATTAAATTATTTTGAATTTGGATGACATTATTTTCCAAAAAGCTAACTTGAAAACTTCAATTTAATTTAATTCATGATCATTTGAGAAAGATCTAGATTTGTTCACATTTATCAACACTGACAATTATAATGAGAGTTAATTCTTTTTCTAAAAATATTTATGACTTATCGATGATACTCATAAATTTGTTTAGCGGCTAGAGATCAAATATGTTTTATAAGATCTTAACACCCAATAAGTTCCAATATCGATTGATACGTAAATGAAATTTTTATCTTCCATGTAATCTTTTCATTGGCACCAATCACTTGTTTATTGTTACCTGGTATATGATTTTATTGACAACAATATTGATGAAATAATTATGTTTTTTTGAACTTTGATTGGAACAAGCCATCAGTGTCAGTTATACAGATCTCTTATATTGATATTTTTGCATATGTTTATCACTCTTCCATGTAGTTTTGCTCCACTTAATATTTCTAGATACGTGCAAGAATATTTTATAAAATGCAAATCATAAATTTAAAAATATCTCCAACATATCAGTATACTATAAATTGATATGAGTGCAATAAAAAAAACATCTGAACCACGTAGTTGATATTTTACGAAGAAACTCTTTCAAGATAAAAAAAAATATTTAATTAATACGTGTTAGGTAAATGTTCTGTAAATGCAAAAGTAGTTCGTCAAACTCCAAGGTCTTCTGTACGATACAAAACTCCCCAGGACGATCGGTCATTGATCTTCTGTAGACTTGCCAGCCGTTCAATCATAACCGCGTGAGGAAGATAAAAATTTACGCACATACAATATAATAAAACTAATAACAACGAATGAAATATTTAAGAAGTAAAACAAAAAAGAAGCTAATAGTAATTATCGTAGACATATATGATTCAATCGTTACTGATAGGTCGACGCGAATAAAATAAAATTTTATAAACCGTTATAAAAACGGAGTAAAAAGCATAATATTTTATGTATATCAAGATGTAATTCTGCTTTATTTATACAACTGTACATTTCTTTCGGTTGAATTAAAAGAAATAATTTTTTATGCTGAGTAAAGAGATCTAGAATTTTCAATGAAATAAAAAAAAACAAAATATTGTTCAATTAATAACATTGTTTTTGTTATACTTACAATAATTTTAGTTTTAAATAGATTATATTGGATTATTATCACGCATTGCTGTACTTTTACTCTAGTTATAATAATAGTTTAAAATTGTTTGAACATGTTTTAAACATTATTACCAATGAAACTATGTTATTTAGATATAAATAAATAAATATAGATAAGATAAGTTCATCGATAGTTGATCATCCGTGATCACATAAACAAATAATTTGGAAACATGAACTATAATAGTTATCCCATTAATACTATATTTTTTAAAACAGGAACTTTATATTTAAAGACAAAACATATCATGTATTATTATAATATGTATTTTTCTATTATTTTTATTCAGTGAAGTTGAGTCAAAATCTGCTATTCACTGAAAGTAATGATCTTGTTTTTTGCTATGCCCTTGAAAAGAGAACTTAAAACAAGTTATTATTGTTCACAATAAATCATCAGCCCATCTAATGATTTTCATTAAAATTATTTTACTTCGTCATTATGTTCTTACATTAAATGATTAATTAATTTGATTTGTTAATTTACGAAAATTAATCATAAAAAATCATGTTTTATAAATAAATCTATGTCAATATTTTTTAAAACATTAAACTATCAAGATCCAACAAGTGAAGTGTAAATAAAAAATGAAAATTCATTTTTCAAAACTATAATTAAAATCCTGATAAATCGTACCGTAATTACATGGTAAGATCAAACTAATTTCCTGTGAAACCAATGTAATGGTATTACAATTAACTTATCCATTAAATCGATTTTTTAACTGATCGATATATTGGAGATTATCCAAAACTTTAGCGTATCACTTCAGAATAAAAGAAACCATTTAGAATCAGAGTCGTTTAAAATCTATGTGAATCGTCAGCAGTTCCGTATTCGAAAACCCGACGACCTTCGACTGTAGTCTAGTAAGTCAAAGAGAAAGGAAACTTTATATTATCCTTAACTTCTGGGACAAATATGATTCTTGACAATTTAATCATCAGAATACGGAAAACCTTTAGAAAGGTCTTCTTTTTTGTAAAAATAAAATAGAATATTTCAGCGATAATTATTTTCTTACTTTTAATACTATGATAAAAAAAAAACTTAACAACTTTTCTTAACGAATAATGATTCAATGTATGCTAGACGAAGAAGACTACAGAATCGAGTTTACTGTTCTCTATAATTCTCATGAAAATTAACGGGATATTTTGCTGACGTAGTAAATACATATTGAGTGCAACATCCATCTGACCATTTAATCCGTCTATCTATTTTATTTCTTAGATTTTTTTAATCTCATTAAGAAAATTGTTATCTACTCATACAAAAAGAAGCATTGGAATATTAATAATAATAATCAATAAGCAAATAAATGCTAGGTATAAATTGATAACAGAAGAATTTCAGAGGTATCTAAAATAAAGAAATATTAATTCAAGTGTAACTTTAAATCCTATAATTACTGTCAACTATGAATAAATAAAATATATGCTAAAAAAATTGTACGTGCTAAGTAGCTCGTTCATTAGCTTTTATAATAAGATTAAGTGCTCGAGACTTTGTTGATTAAACAAACGATTATTCAATAAGAATGGCGTCGAATTGTCGACATGTTACTCTTAATCTTCAAATCTGCTATTTATTTTTTCTTTCGACGTTTTTTTTATCATTATTTCAATAAATTTTGTTACTATTCAAGCCAATATTATTTTTTTATTAATGATATCCAACAGGTAAATTTTTTTTAGGTCGTTGAACCGACCTTCAGCTAATATTCCACTTAAAAAGGTGTATTTCATATGAAAAATTCAATCTATGCATTTGGGTTTTTATTAAATTAAAAATAGTCATTACGAAGCAAAGTTTCTTTAGAAATAAACTTTATCACTGGAATTTTATTAACTGATATAATTAAATGAATAATTAGTTATTTGTTTATAATTGGCAAATATTAATTTCATTATAAAGAATTTTAAATTCAGTAGCTGTCAAGTAGATATGACATGTCAAAATTAGGTTAAAATAAAAGATCAAATATTAATTTATGTATAATATACAAATATTTACTACTTGCTGATATTAAATATCAGCAATTAATCAATTAATTATAAGTAAATAAATGATTCTATGAATTTTTGACGTTATTTTTGTTTGTATGTCAGTATAAAATGTTTTTACGGTATTGAGAAGAATAAATGAAAATTGACGTAGCAAAAAATTTATTGTCCTGATATGGATTAATCTTATTTTATAATAGACTTGTTAAAGTCATAAAGTATGAAATAATACGCTTATAACAAAATGTAAATAAGTGTAAGTTCGTAGTCCCACTAGTAGTAGATTTTTGAATGAAAAAATTGATTGTCTTTTAATAATAATATATAATAAAAAAGTTTTAAATTATAATAATACAAAATTGAGAAGTATGATAAAATTTTAATTCTTAATCATATATTATTTTATTTGGCACGAATTACTAATTTACTAACGAAGCTGATATTTTACACCTGTAAACCACCATAATTTTAGTAAAAAGTTACATAATATTTATCAAAACCTGTGTATGAGAATTGATTACAACAATTAATAAGCAAAATTTCTTTTCAATTTTAGTGCTAATTCTTTTCAACAATTATAATTAGACAGAATGTATTAAAATAATTAAAATAATGGATGACCATCACTAGGATGATGACAAAATTATATGAGTTATCAAAGTTTAGAGAAAAAGGTGGGATTATAGATCACTATTAATTTTTACTATTTAAAAAAATGTTTTTTTTCATTATTAATTTACTAAATCATATTTCAATCGATTAAATCATCACCAATCTGACTGGAACATAATCTTACCTTCTGTAATAATTTAAAGCAATTGAATTATTTTTTTGTCTATCTCTTAACTTCTATTGTTCATCTACTAGTGTATATAACCCAACAAAAAATCAGTTATAAAATATTTTTTTATGAACTATTATTAGAAATATTTTTATTAATTGTTAATAATCCATATTTTCTTATTTTGTCAAAGTATATTATCAAAGTCTATTATTATTTATAAATTACTATGAACAATGCTATTTTTATCTTTTATTTATAGAAGATAAATAAAAGAAACTAATAAAAAAAATTTCTAACATCGGTATAAAACTGTACTTAGGAGTAATTACCCTGCGTTTTAATTGTTACAATGCATTTGATAGCCTGATTTTAACAGTTATTTACCTAAATGTTTTTATCTGTTAATTGTTTATTAATACCAATTAAATTTATTTTAACACTAATTTATTCAACTACTAAATAGTTATCACAAATATTTTTTATTTTTTTTTTTAATTAAAATTATATTCTGTATAATCATCTTAATATAATGTCAGATTATTCAATAATTCTTAAAAATTAAATAAACTGATTCTCATTGAGTCCTATTGTTTCTTAAAGACTATCATAACTGTCAGAATAAAAATCACAATTAAATTTTTACACGCTCACTTTACTGTCAAAATGATGCCGTTAATATTCATTGAATTATTAAATATAATTTTAAACATGTAATAAATCAAATGAGTACTACAAAGTAATTTAAAAAAATAATCGGATTAAAGTATGTAAAAATAACTGATTTACCTTGAATACCTATCATTAGAAATGATATGAATAGTTTTTTTTTATCTTATGGGATCATGAATTTGTTTCACTACAGATAAGACATTTTTTAATGTCACCTAGTAATAAAGAAGGCCATGCTTATAAATTTCAACATGCACATAATAATATTCAAGTGAAACAGTACGTGAATTCGCGTCATATTACGTTAACATTTTACATGTCAGATACCATAGTCTGACTACGACTCTAGTAGTAATAACCCGCGCGGGCTCGATGTGAAGTGAAGAAAGAAATTTATAAGCAGCCAGTTGCGCGGAGTCCGCCGTTGGAGCATATGCTCGCATGGCGTGTACTTTTACTATGATGGATTTCTAATGTCCATTTCTTTATTTTGCTCTCAATTTTAATTATTTTGTGACGTGTTTATATCAAGTTGTTTAAAAAGAAAGTAGTAATATTGATAGGAAAATATATCGATTGAATAATATTATTCGATTGTGTGATTGATTATTCAGTCGAGAGGATTTTCAGTATCATATTGTTGATTTTATCAGTTTATTCTACTGATTGACACTCTACTTTGGTGAGTTTATTTCCAGTAAATAATATACAGAAATGAAATTTTAAACATTATTGATTTCAAATAAATTTGAAAATATGTAAATGTATTTATTTAACATTTATTTATAATACGTTGATATTATTTTAAATTGATTTCATTCTACCATCGAGGGTAGATGGAATACTTAGATTAAATTATTCTTCTGCTTGTTGATGACAAGTTTGTTTTAATATTTATATATTACTTCAGTATTTATTATTTATTTTTATAATATAATTTTAAAATTAACTTTCAAAGTTTTTAAAAATTAGTAAAAGTAATCTTACATACAAATTTTAATACTTCATTTTTAATAATAAGTTTACTAACTGTTGTTCCACTTAAACCAACAGTAAAATGAGCATAAAAAGTATTCATTCATTGGTTGATTTTAAATGTTCTACTTGAAAATTTTTTTGTTGGCAACGATTTACAATGTGATCTTCAGAGAAAAGAATTCTTTTGCTTGGTTTAATTCATAATCAATATTGTAAACATTTTTATCAGAACAATTTGTAAGAAAAAAAGTCAACAGTGTTTATTGCAATCATAATACTGTTGACTCCTTTTCCTTCAAGATTATTAATTAGTAAGACCTTGTTCACTGTTTATAACTGAATACAAATAAAAGCTTAACACCTTTAGTACATCAATAATCAATGAAATATGTCAGAATAAATGTATTGATATTACTTTAACATGGTAATTTGCATTTCCGAACAGTTGTATATGGGCTAACTAATTACGTTTATCATGCAATTACGATAGAAATCAAATTAATGTTACCTGGATAAAGATTTTTATTCTCTATTTGTCTTTGTGTTACTACGTTGTAATTAACTTTTAAAATCGACTTTTTTTATGTTTTCAAATATTTATTAACATACTTCAATCAAATTTCCACAATTAATATCCTGCTTACAAAAGTTTACATAACAAACGATTGATGATGCAAATAAGAAATATAGAGTAAAGTAATAAAAATCTATTTTATATTTATAAATTTTAATGGGATAAATGCGAACCGTTTAGCAATATAATTATATTGATAATTTAACAATTCTTGAATAAGTCAGCATAGTTCACTGATAATTTACAATGAGGAAAATTGAATAAGTATAGAGCAAAAGATTTATCTTTGAATTACAAGCAATACATATTTATAAGTTCTATTCAACATTAATAAATATTAATTTCTTAAAATTCATATTAATAATTATCAGCTTAAAATGATTTGAATAATAGTTAAAGGATACAATATGTATCAATTTTTACATTTTTCAGTATTTTTATAAATTAAATAACCTATTTAAAAACATCCTAGTAAAGGGAATTATTTAACAATAAAAAATTATTAGCATATTGTTGACAACAAAATGTTTTTCTTGAAAATGTTTTGAGCTGTTTTTTAATTATATATAATTTTTTAATAAATGATCAATATCATTAAGCATGACTATATTAATTTAATAATTATGTTTATAATAATACTTTATTTCAAAAACATATTATTCTCGTGCTTCTATTCCCCTAAAATAATGTAATATTTTTAAAACGATAATTTGTTTTCAATTAAATTTTATAAATCTCACATTAAATTAATCTTACAAAATTTCCATTATTGATGATAATCTTCTTCGATAACAATTATGTCACTTAACTATCAAATATTGCTGTAGTGAAAAGCCGATTTATTATCATAAAACTTGTATTTTTTTTGGATTTATAAAAAGCAAATAATTATTTAATATTTTAATCTTAAGTTAAAAATAGAATAATTATCAGAAAAAATATAATTCCTCTGAGCCTTGATGATGTTATTACAAATATTACAATCAACTGGACACAGTAACAGCCTTAAAAGTTATTCTGAGTAATTAGTTGACGTATAATTGTTCAGAGAATATTTTTATCAACAACTAATTACACTGAATAACATCTTAATTTGTCAATATGTATTCTTTATAAAAATTAGTATAGACAACAATGAAAGTAATAATAATAATAAAAATAAGGACACAACTTGGGCCTTATTGTTTAAAGATCAGCTAACAGTAAATAAAAATAAAATCTTGTAAGGTTGTACTCATAGTGCGTAGAAGTCACTTTTTTTCTACACTCATGTATATGTACTGCGTAACCAGGTGAAGGTTACACGAAGTAAAGAACGTCTTGAGAATGTCTTGGAGTTGGAATTATTGCTAACAATCTGTATAACTGGTTAAAATAAGACTTTACTAATTTTAACTTTTGATGATTTTTCAAAACGGAAATTGAAATAGATAGAATTTACTTCTTTTAAAAAAAGTTTTAAAGATTTAAGAATCAAAAATAGAAACCGCTGAAAGAAAAAGCGATCATCATAAATAAAACTGTAAATCAAACGAAGGATTCAATTTAATTTTTGTTTCAAATTAAAATTATAATTACAATTAATAATTAATTCGAATGAAACATTGAGTTTAAAAATGATTGATTTTTATTTTTCAATAATAAGATTTCCATTACAATTGATTATATTTTTATTATTAAAAAATCAAAAATAAGTTTATTGATAAAATTTAAAGAAAAATATTATGAATTAATACGTCATTCATTTATTCAATTATTTATTTGTTTTTTACGTCAGATGAAAAACAATCTTTGCAAAATCTCTTTAATTCTCTTAAATCATTTTCTAATCTTCTGTAACAAGTGTCTGATTAATTTTTATGTTATTAATTTAACTACATAAATTCAAGTGTTCAAAGCACAATTGCCATCTGTATCACTTATTATCAATAAAGGTAAAATATGGCAAAAACAGAGCAGATATTGCGCATAATATAACAGTTAATATTCCGTATTTATTGATTCAAATGTTTTAATTTCAACCATTTAGCTCAAATTCTAGAATTTTTTATGTCTACTTATTGAGCAATATTTTTTCAATCAATAATTTGTTAAGATAATCTTGTCTTTATTTTACCTTTTTATTACTCATTTTTCATCCATATCATACTTCATGATGAGAGAGTATAAAAATTATTCACACGTATGATGACTTTACCTATATTCTTTGACTCATCATTATTTGTATTTCTGGGAATGACATACAACGTATCGAATATTCTAGTTAATTCACTAAATTATTGAAGAGTTTTATCATATCAAACTCTCTGATAAGTTCATTAATTTCAATGATGCTTCACTAACTTTGTTTATTCTATAAAACAAATTTATGATAATCGTTACTTTTTTTCATGTTTTGCTAAATAAAAAGAACATTTTTCTCTTGATTTCATGGATTTACAATCTATTGAATCTGTTTAATCTATTCAATAGTTACTACTCTATTAAAGAATCATTTAGAAATAATTTAACTTTATAATTAAATTAATAAACTAAAAATATGTTTAATTATTCATCAAGATAGTAAATGGTGAATTAATGAATATCTATTATTTTACAATAATTTTATGAATTTATATTTCAATAGTAAAGTGTTTTTTAAAGACATTGGAATAAAAATAATTGTTTCAATATAAAGTAGAAATAATATTTCATCCTAACAAAATAAATTTGTTTAACAAATTAAGTTTTAATTTATAATAAAAAATTTAAAAGCAATAAAACATCGAAGTTTATCATTCTATTGATTATTTATTTTTGCTCTTTTAGATTTAATAGTCCATCTATTAGTGAGTTTACTCTATTAAATAGATCAATTAATTTCTTTGTAATTGTTTAAAAAAAGTAGGAAGACATCTTATTTATACTAATCTAAAAAAAAGTTAATAAAGATGTTTTGCGTCGAATACTATTGTGAATCATTTTCAAGAATTTGTTATAAATAATGGATGATAACTGAAGAATAATAAAAACGAGTTTATTGCTACATTTTTATTAATTAAATACGGAAGACCACATGCTACGCTTTTGATAGATTGTTATTATTGTTATCATCACCAGCATTATCAGTATGACTCTTATCAATTTCTCGATCACTCTATTAACTAATGATGATAAGAAGACAATAAGAGGTACGAAGTTTCGACAAAATATGTATCATTAACAATTTAGTCGCTTGTCAGCTGTTAATGAGAGAAGATATTTTTTTTCTTTTATTATTTGAAGTTTTCAATTGACAACAAATTTGCAATTAATAGTTAATTAACATTTATTTATCTGTGAAATTATAAGTTAATATAATTCTCGTTAAAATACTCTGAAATTATAACCATTTACGTAAGTAGATTTACTTTGAACATTTCATAGTTGATAATTTCATGGTCACACATTAAATGTGGTGGTCAGCATGCTTCATTTATTCTTTACTTTTAAATGAAAGAACTGGAAATACTGTAATCAGTAGGCGAATGAATTTTATAAAATAATAAAAGCTTTTTTTTATATAACGTTTGACTATACTTGTTATATTAGTAAATAAATAGAAATTATAATGATTGATTTCAATTTTTCCCTAATTAATTTGAACGGAACATTGAATCAAGGTAAGATCAAAATATGCATTAGTCAATGGCTATCTTTTTCAATGCTCAATTGACTAATACATGTTTTCATCTTACCTTATGTATAATAAATATAGTATCAATGGATAATTGATTGGGATGACTGTTTCATTTAAACTAATAATTAAAAAATTAAAACTTTTATGATCCCTTATAAGTAGATAAATGATTAATATTTTCTTGAAAAAAGTATCATTATGGTCTCCTATGAGTGAAATACTTAGAAATATTCATGTATTTAAAAATATAATTATTGTGCTTAATGTTTTGAATATTTCTTATAAACAATAATGTTATTAAAATACTATTAATTTTTCATTGTTAATGCTTTTCTAAAAACTTGTTGATAATTAGGTCATTCGATATAATGATTATTCGTTGCAACGAAATATCAATTTAAGATCTTTTGTGCATGGTCAACATTGTTACATTTTTTCTCTGTTATTAAAAAATAATTTTTTATACATTCGTGCATAAAACTGGCATGTAAAGGTGTAACACGCAAGGGGATTTTAATGCCACATGTTAGTTGTAGAGTTAGGCTCGGATGAAAATGCATGAGAAATATAAAAATAGAAAATTTTACATGAGTGGAAAGTCAAATGATAAAAATAATGATAAGTATATGCGATAATCATTTTTTTTTGTTATATATTCAATAAATTGTGTACGAAGAATTACAATTGACCCGATTTTCCGATCATGATAATTTTTACCATTTTAAAATGCAGTAAAAATTAGCGAGAAAAACAAAAGAATTCTACGAACGCATTAGTTTTATCAAATACATATTCAATCATTCTTTTAATTTTAATTATAAAAAAATATATCTTTTCGAGGTAAAAAAAAAATGATAATTAACTTATTAAAATTTTGAGAAAGATTTTTTATAATTAAAGTTATTTATTTATTCGAATATTTTTTGTTAATTAATAATAAAAATGAATATTATTTTTTTAAATTAAATATCTAATTTAATATAATTAACGTTAAGAAAGTAAAACTTATGTCAGTTGTTTTAAAAAGCAATAAAATAAAAATATACTCATTTCTGTTTTGATATTACTAATATTGTGAAACCATTGATATTTTATCAATAATAAAAATAACAATACAGTGACATATTAGTATTTTCCTTAAGAATAAACGTCATCATGAATTCTCACGTCATTCCCATTGTCTCGTTATTACAAATATCACGATGGTCAACGTAAAACGTGGAGGGAAAGTAGAACGTCCAGCTTTGTAGACGTAAATGTACGATAATAGCCACTGTGAATGGCTCAAATATAAAAATAGATATAGACTAGTATTAAGGGTAGCAAGTATTATCGAACCAAAAGGTGCGTCCATCTAGGGCGCAATATCTTACCTTCCTTAGTTGTTCAATTCATTTCTCTATTCAAATTTTTTTTCGTCCTGAATAAAATTTCTCATTGACCTCCTCTTACCTGAAATTATGTGACATCTAAATACTTCAACTTTTTCTTATCGATTTACGCTACTTCTACTTAATTCGTTTCGCTGCATATGTTTTTAAACAACTATGCGAAGAATTTACATTTTCAGTGAACTCTTGTGATTTACTTGATAATTTTATAAATAGCAAAAGAATTTAAATAATTAACTTAAACGTGTAAGTTAATTTATCTTCTTGGAGTAATGTCAATCTCACACTACAAAGTATTATATAAAGCAGTAGTTCAAGGGTTAGTCGAACAACTATCTGAATATTATTTGCATTTAATTAATTTTTATAAATATCATTCATATTATGAATACTATTATTTCATTATATTCTGTAAGATCTCAAGTATGAATTGGAGTTGGGGCATCCCTCACTGCTCCAAAGAGTTTTAAATATATATTTAGTATACTAACATAGGGGATCAGATGTACGAGCAGAATAGGGAATTCCATTTTATTTTTAACATTTGTTTCTAACCCTTTAGCGATCATCGGAAATTAGTCACGATATTGATAAACCTAATTTTTATGTATATAAAATTTTTATCAGACCAATAGAACAATATAGTTGAAAGCATTTATTTATTTAATCAAATTAAAAACATTTAAATATAATGAAAATATTTTTTTTTAATTTCTAAATGATACAAATTAATCTTTTTTATTTTAAAAAGGATACACATTCTTAAGAACAATAAATTATAAAAATATTTTAGTGCATGAGTCACAAGTGCTTAAATGTTGTCAAAGGTTTAAAATTAAATATTAAAATTTATTTTAATTCTTATTATTTGATTATAAAATATAATACAAAATGCTATACCACAATATACCACAATAACTTAGAACTGAAATAATAATCACAAAAATAATTAGTAAATAAATGATCATATAAGTATATTTAGGTTTTATTAATGAACACTAATAAAAAAACACTATTTTTTATTCATAAATGAAAGATTTTTTTTTATCTTATCTTGGTATTTCCCATAGTACCTTCGAATGCATTTTAGAAAAAAGATGGTAACCACGTTGAACAATCCATAATTTTTCCTTCATGTCTAGACCGGAATTTTCAGATTTAAATTTCATTTCTACCTGGTCTGCACCAATTCTAATAAACCTTGGAATTCCCCAAGACAATGTGCCGTCTCTGGTCACTCGGGCCCACTGGGATCTTCTGTATCCCCACTCTTTTTCCATGAGACCCTTTATTCAAAGGCAAATACTCCTCAGTTCAGTTTTACCAGTTTATCGAAAAAGACGCGTTGTCAAATTGTAAGCAGAACATTCTCATTGAACTGATTAGTTAGTGCAAATAGTTTAAATAATAACTCGAGTTATTCAATGTCGACCTGGCGTAGAGGTATAAAATATTATCATCCAATCATTGATCATTATTCAATAAATAGAATTCATGAGTTTATTGAAGAGAATATTGAGTATCAATCACAACTTTGGTGAACTAATTTAAATACTTTTTGTATTACAGAAATGTCTTTAGAGGAATCTCGACGTTCTCAAAGACCTTATAGGTACGGAATGGTACTCCTTTGTGTAGGAGCTCTTATTAATTGGTTAGGATTGGCTGAAAATTACGTGGAACCTGTGAGATATGTTGGAGTAGCTTGCATTGTTGCTGGAGCTCTTCTAATATGTGCAGCTATGTGCTGTTGGCTTCATGCTCCACCAACTAGGACCAACATTCAGTGCCAGAATGCCAACCTAAATAGTACTATTCAGGTAAGACACTTCATTAATAACATTGAATGTTTTAAATTCATCAACATACTGAATTTGTGTACTGAGAACATCGTCTCTTGTACATAATTTATTCTATCAAAATTACTTAATAATAGACAAATAATTACCTCAATTAATAACATAAGTCGAATTTTCATTCAGAGTTTTTGAACCAAATAAATTTTTAATGAGTTTTAATAAATACTCATTTGATACAGAATCAATAACAATTGATTTTGATTATTTTTAACATGATACATTTTGTTTTTTCACTTAATGCAGTTTATGTATTTTAAATTTTACATGAGTTAAAAAAATATGTTTAATTTTTATTTAAACAAAAATCCAAAGTTATGACACAACATATTAGCAAATTTCTTGATGATCATTTTTTCATATTCATCATTTAGTCTTCCATTCAAATAAAAAAAATGGACATTCATAATTTATTGAAATTATTTGTCTGTCTCCAAACTAATGATAAAAAATCCCATTAGTTCAAATTTTTCTATCAAGATTGATTACTCATCTTTTTATTCAGCTAATTGGTTTGCCATTAGAAAATCAATCAAGTTTTATGATAGAATATATTTTCAATAACAGTTCGTCTATAAAATATGATTTTGAGTTAGTTTCATTTTTTAACTTTCAAATCATTGGAGAGTTGAACTCTCTTTTATCATTCCGCTCTCGTGAGTAGAATTCTAATGGTTGATTTAAAAATAGTCAGAACAATGAGTGCGTCTCAGTTCGGTGCATCGACATCGTTGTTTGAACTTCTGTATAGAGTTCATAGAATTGAATTTTACTTATAGCTTATAGCATTGCACCCTCGGTTGAGAATAAAACTATGAATGTCTATTAATATATACGTTACAGAAATATATAGACGTTCATGTACGTAAATGAATCTATATGATAGCCTAGTATACGGTATGGTGAATAAATCGGAAATAGAGTGAAGTCAAATGTCCCAAGAGGGATTTTATTATTTCATATTGTCGTTGGTTTGTGGGATGCATCGATCGGAAGACGATGCCCTTTGCTGTGAATATTCATCAAATTACGTTATGTTCTTTTTATGTTAGCATCTACTGAAAGGTCGATCGCTTTTAATAAATTCTTATTATTTTACCAAGGTCTTCTTAATTGATTTTATCTTTGAATCTTGTAAGCAATCAGACTTTAATTACTTCCCTCTGAATCTGAATGCTTTCAAACAAAACACACCAAGTGTTTTCAATGTTAAATTTCCATAAATAAAATGGAGAATTCAATGCATCTGAATGGAGTTTATGGAATAGAATATTATCACTCGTCTTATTTTTTATTTTAATGAAGTTGAAGTTATATCAATACAAGTCCAATACTCTCCTGACTTAACAAAGTTTCATCATAGTTAAGTCTGCTTATCTTTAGCAGAAAAATTCCCTAAATATGAACCAGTTTCATACTATGGACTATGATGACATTTCACTTAATGTCGTTTGCTTACGTAACAAACTTACCTATATTCGATGCTTTTGGTCCATGACAAGCTACCTGTAGCACAACTACTTGTGCTGCACGTGAATGAGTTACCTCTACTCAAAGATTTCAGTGAGATTTTATGGAGGGTCAACTAACCAGTAAATGAGCTGCACCTAGTGAATGTTCAGCATGGCTAGAATATCTATATATAGTTAAATTATACATCGACCGTACTGTCCATTCACTGGTATATTCAATTTTTCTTTAGAATTTTCTTTTTGATTTATGATGTTTTGGAGACAGACTATTTGGATGGTTTTGAAAAATATTTTATGTATACTATATATCGTTATTGGATACTTGCATTTTCTGAATAAATCTAATAATAATTTGTTTTTCAATCAATATTAATATTATTTTTATACTTAATCATCCACTTACTGATTAGTTAAGCCAAATTTTGTGATAACAAATGCAAGATTATTATTACATTTGTACATCAAAGGTTTATATTCAACTACTACTAATAAATCGATTAATTTATTTTTTAAACAAAGCTGTATATAAAATACTAGGATATTCATTATTTACAAATATTGGTACATAGCTTGTACAAAGTAATTTAGAAGAACAAGTTATAAATTATAATCAATAATAAAGAATTCTCTCAATAGTTAACAACTAAGTTTCTTTTCAAGTATTTTTACTTAGTTTATTATTAAATGAGAATCTAAAAGTTGAAGAAATTTTCCAATATTTTACAGAAGATTAATATTTGTTAAGAAATTAATAAAAAAAAAATAATTTTAACATGCAAAAGTCTGCTTCCAAAAAATATAAATCATTTGAACGATCATGACTTGGACCAAATCAACAATTTTTATCATGTTTCCAATTATACTGATCATAATCTAATCTGTCGAAAAACGCAAACATCAATCTAGAATTATACAGTTCAACGATTAGATAATTGTAGTTATTATTTTTCCTTATACTTTCTTCATCTATAAGCCACTTGAATAAATAACATATATTTGCGGTCTTATTGCCGATATGTCGTAACTTCAGCATTCATTTTTGAATAAATAGGTGAGGCAAGATGTACTTTATTCTTTTGCATAAAATGACAGAGTTCGGAATTAACAAAATAGTGTGAAAATATGAGTTATATAACTATGAACAGATGATTACTCAATTACTTACTTAAAATCAAGGTAATAAATAAAATAAAAAAGACCACAATATATGAAATTATTGATTTAATTGCAATACATTATTAATAAAAAATGAGTTTTTACTTTAAGGTTCAATAAGGCTTACTTCACGTAAATTGTAACCTGTCCTAGTTTCAGTAACTAGAGTTTTTTCTGTCAAATATTCATACTATTGTCGAAAAGTTGTGACTTAGGATTACGTAACTTAACAGTACTAATCGTTAAAATAATAAGTCCAATAAAGTTGACACTAGATAACCGAATTTGCATAAAATATTTCCAATTATCATTCAACTTACACAACTGACTTGAAAATTATAAAAATTTAAAAAATACACGAAAAAGATAAAAAAATATTATTATGCCTTGAACAACACCTGTTATCTTTTATAACTCATTGGAATATTTACTGGCTTTTTGTATTGTTTGAAATGAAGCTTAAGATATCAATTGTATAAAAATACAATTTACTTGTACTTTCTTTTGGATTTCAAATATATTTGAAACATATTTGTCTGAAATGTTGGTTGTAAATTTGATCATCACTATTGCTCCTATTATTGTGACTTGAAGTATAGGTTTTATGATATTATAATTATCTTTGCGCTTTAATAATAATTATTGCTAACTCATAAAGACAACAATATGTGTTAAGTGAAAACTAATTCATCGTGGAAGCTAAGTAGTTTAGACCTCGTAATGATATTTTTTTCTTCTTCTTATCATAGTTATAATGTCTTTTATCATCTTGTTTTCAACATTATCATAATGACTTCCTGTTTCTCTTTTTTAAAATGATAGGAAGATAAAAAAATACATTATCAACGTGTGTATACTGATTTTAGCCACTTTAAGGATTCTACAAGTGTCATAGTCTACATGGCATAAGGTGCTCTTAAGAAAAATTAGTTCCTCTTCATTTCTACATGATCGTGAATAACTGAAATTTAATCAATTCTGTTTAAAAATAAAATAGATAAAATACTTCAGATGAATTATGATAATTATTGCATTATATCTTATAAAATAGAAGCTAGCAATTATTGATAATCTACATATTGATTAATTCAAGAATCTCTTTTAAAGTAAATCTGCCAATACATTGAACAACAGTGTCAAATTTATCACTGTTCAAGTTGGTAATAGATTTATTGCTAGAAAATCTTAAATATATCTTGCTTTTCATGAAGCCATTTGAAAAAAATAAAATGACTATTTTATTAATTGTATATCATCAGAGAAATCTGTGCGAAAATAATTACCATATTGATGGTATTCTCCATGTAGGAGATTCCAAATTGATGTTATGATCCAATTATAACTAGACCAACATTAATTGCTATGTACAATGATGACCCAAAAATGAATCACCCATGGCCTCATTGTATGATCCTATTTAAATTACACACATTTATGGATATTATTAATACTGTAATTATGTACTTTTAATTATTTTTGTTTCACAATTTTATGTGTTATTTCAATGCTGACATTTACCTTACATCAATAGAATAAGTCTATGTAACATGAGAATGAGTATTATATTCGTAAAACGATCCTTACTTGGTGATACTCAGCACGTAAAGTAGCTGGAAATTATCACTTCCTATACTACCAAGTTGAGATGTCAAGAAACAAAGAAATTTTTATCTATTAAATTAAAATAACATTTATGGAATTAATAAGATTGATTGTTTCCTCTTTGTAGGAATAATTAAATAGAATTCTCTCTACATTTTTTTTTAGTAAACATAGCCATAATTATTACCTATAGAGAGTAAGAAAATAAAAAATAAAATCAAGTTCTTATCTTTGACATGAAATAAAATAATTTTATAAGTTTTATCTATAAATATAGTTTCCTAAAGACCACATAAAGGGCAAGTAGGAGCCAATATAGCATTGAAGAGTACATATTGCATATTAAAAATTCAATAATGTTTGTCGTCATGACGGAAGAGACACTCAGTTATTTTCATTTGAATCTTCCTTTTTCTTTGTCGTCATTACGCAGTTATAGTCAATGTGAAACTACCTAACTACTCTACTTTCTATTCTTATTTTGCCATTTATTACATCAACAACGGTTTTGCTAATAAAAAGAATAAAACGGAGTTTAGTCATTCAAACATTCCAATTATTTTATGACTTGTCTAATAGAATTTCTTTCTTTCAGATTGACGATCCAATTCATGTAATTACTGTTGAAGAACCAGCCAGCGTTGCAAGACAAAAGCCACCAGATTATGAAGCAGTGGCAGACTCACCTCCTAGCTATGATGATGCGATTAAATTAAATCCTGGACAATTAACGGGTGCAACAAATAGCAGAGTCACTTCAACTATTCTAACTGGAGTTACGGAAAGTGTTGGTAGTGGCCTTACTCCCAATCAGCCTACTGCGCCTACGCCTCCACCTCCGTATGCTAGGTAAATATTTCATACTTTTCATAATTGATTATGAATTATTTTATACATGAAAGAAAATTGTGGTATTTTTTATATCGTGAAGTTTATTAGTTGAATATTAATATTTAATTATTATGTTATCATCTATTTCTCCAATTATAAGAGTAAACTAAAACTTGAAGAGCTAAATGATTAGAAAAACTTTGAGTCGAAAATATATTCTCAATTTTTCTATAAATAATTATTCAACCAACAAAATAGTTCAATTAAAACTACCCAAGCAAATGAAAACATTTGTGTTAATTTTTATATTAATTTAATCTTTTCAAATATTTATTTTGTTGATAATTACTGATTTCCTAGTATTCATTGAACTCTTTCCTCTAGTTATCATCAACGTAGATTTTCCGGTAAAATTAATTATTATCACAAAAGGAAAGAATTACTTGAGTACATCATACTTATTCATATTCATCGAAGTTTTTTATCGAAACTTTTGATTATTAACAAACTAGAAAATTTTTCTGATAACTTTTTTCTTATCACCACAATATATTTATATGTATACATCTATTAAATTTAATACACAGCTTCAGAATATTTTTTTTTATCAAAATTTTTTGATTAACGTTGAAACAATATATTGGCAAATAACGAAACTCAATAATGAAGTAATTATTTGAATAATATACAATAACTTTTATTACTTTTTTCAGGTGAGATTACATAGTGGGTACGCACTTGCGACCTCGGCAAAGTCTACCAACATCATCTTTACACTGCGCTCGATCTGATATTCATAATGAGCGTCAGTTGACACACTTCATTGATACGTCCAATGTTGCGAATATTGTGGGAATGCGCCATCATCGGAGATATCATGTGAGACCAATCTCAAATAATGCTACCACTGCTAGAAGACTGCGTGCCCAAAGTGTTCATGTTCTCTACACACAAGTGCCGTTCCATCAACATCAATAGCCGATTTTCATAATTGAATGTTATTCCAACTAAGCAGAAAAACTTAAAAAACATTTATATTAGAATCAAACATAAACTGTGAGAAATGAGAAATATTAAAAAAGAACTCAACAGCTAGAAAAAAGCACGCAAATGCCTTGTACCTGAATAAAGCATTCCTGCGTCTTTAATAACTCAAAGTAATCTGAACGAATGAAAGCTGATCTCAATTCCTATTCTTCTAGAATTTTGAATAAGTTTTCATAATGATTAGTTGAGAAACTATGAGAAAAAATAATTTTTATTTAGAAATGGAATTATTTAATTGTATTTAACGATTGATTACCATGCATCAAGATGAAAGTGATATTAAAAATGTAATAAAGAATAGTTGACAAGTAAATAATTGATTTCTTCTTAAAAATTAATTTTTCTGTGATAATAATTTTATCTTGAGCTGCCTAAAAGACTTTTTAGAAGCATAAGCTTGTGTAAATAATTTATAAATTATTGTTAATATTAATATCAACAATATTACATCTATCTATAATTAAATTATTAACTAATCTTAAATTAATTACTGTTAAAGAATTATGAAATAATTGTCTGTAGATGAATTGAAGGAAGTAGAAAGAAGAGTATGATTATGTAAAAGTTTTGATGGCTGATAAAACAATCATTTAAAATAATTAGTTAAATAAAAGGATATTCAATTGTAAAAATTATCCTTATGCTAGTTGGATGTTTTCATATAGAGAAAATGTTATGCACGAGTATATTTTTATTGTGATTTGTACTATAAATAGAGTGGGATAACGCCAGAAATGTTATTTGTTCCCACAAGATCTTGTAAGATAAGATTTTTTTTTATACCTGATAAATAAACTTAAATGACTAAAAATAGATTTATTATTTCAACGTCATCCTTTATCAATTATTCTTGGATAATTCTTTTTTAAGTACAACTACGCTTTTATTATTAACTATTGTTGATACAGTGTGCTTGTGTGTTAAACAAGTTCATATACAGAAAAAAGAAAACATGACTTCATTGTGTGCTACATAATCATCTCTCTATTTAGAAACGAAATTCATGAACATGAATCTGAATATGAATGATTCTTATAAGCACTCTATTGATTACGATCCAAAACAACAACCGTAAACGTCCCGCATAGTAATCAGTACTATGCTCTCAAAAATCATTCATGTTTAGATTAATGTTTATGAAATTCGTTTTTAAACAGAGAGATTATTGTGTAGCGTAATATATAGTGAGTTTTCTTTTTTAATGTAGAAAGTAATTTTTTTTTTATTTTTAAAGATAAATTTTCACATTTCTTTTGAATTCTTCATCTTAAACGATAATTACAATTTTATTTAAAGCAATTACTTTGTAAATAAATAATTAAGTAATAATTAATTACTTAACAAATAAATTTGAAATATTTTTTTTCATGAATGATCAAGAAAATGATAAAAGAAAGGAGTCTTTGGTGAAAATTAATCACTCAAATTCGACTGGATTTTACCATCAGAAAAAAATAATTTTTCAATTGTTATCATAATTGTTGTAATTTTATGGTAAATAAATATTAACTCGCAGGAATGGTAAACTAGAATTCTAGTTTAAGATATTAATGTACTCCAATATCATTACTTCTTTTTTTTACCAAGTTCTAAATTGCAATCATTTACTTTGGTCGCACGGCCTATTGGCGAGATAACATTCTATGAAGGTATTACAAAATCTTGTAATTATGTTGTGAAATACCTGCAGACTTTATCAATAGCACCATAGGTGTCTGCTTCCGCATTTACGTATGGATTTTGCAACAGAATATTATGACAGGATTTATCTCCAAATCTTACAACAGATTCAATGAAGAAACTGGCATAAAAAAGAGAACTGATTTTCAGCAGAAATATAAAAGACGTCATTTATTCAATCAGTGGTTCTTATTGTGCTATGAGAATACATGAAAATTGGAAATCAATAAATGAATTTATTTGTTGTCAATAAAAAACATCTCACAATGTCTGCTTTTTTATTTAAAAAAAACTGAACCATAGATTATTATAATGAAGAAATTAAATTAAAAATTCTGTCTTATTCTTTAGTTAAATATATACGTATATTTTTCTAAAAATAATTTGTAATTAAAAAAAAACGAAATATTTACTTTTTGAAACAATCTTGAATTAAAATTTCACTCAAAAAAACAGTATTTTTTATTAAAAAAATACTTTATTTTGAACTTATCAAAATTATAGTCGTTTTTCTTACTAATTTCGCGAAGTCCTTTTAAATCATTCATAAAATCTGCTCCTACGTTACAGAATTACAATATTTGGAACTAGTTCAACCATATTTAAAAATACTTGACTCAGTTAAGCCCTGTCTATTATTTAAATACTGTAATGAAATCAATTTTCACAAGTTAGTTAAATACTGTAAAATGAATGTTTATTGAAAATTGAACAAGTTACAATTTTATCATGTCCACAATGTTCAGATCTGTTTAAGACTAACTTAAGTTTAAGGGAAGGCGCTATTTAAAGAGCTCAGGATCTGGGAAATTATTACAGGAAGGGGTAGGCGTCCTGTAACGTCGAGAATTTTTTATCTTTGGTGAAACTGTAACAAATTTGGTATCTTAGGAATTTAGAAATCTACGAAGTATTTGTAGAGGATAGGGTTTATTGCAGAATGTTAGGATGTTAAAAGGGTTTTGAAAATTGCTTCGGAATATTACCTATGAAGGATAGTTTATCTTATTTGTAAGGTACAAATACTAGAAATATAAGGTTTATTACAATACTATATAAAGATTGAACGTGTTCAATAATTACTCATTATTTAGGAAGTAAAGTTGTTAAATATTTTGAAAAGTAACAAAAAAAAATTAAAAACCTTAAATCCTAAAAACTTTTCTCTTAATTAGAGGACAATAAAAAGGTGACTGAAGTGTAAATTTTTTTAGAAAATTTTCGTTATCAAATATATAAAAATATGCTTTTCTATGCATTTATATTTTTCCCCTTTTCTACATAGACGTATTAAATCGATTTCAACGTAATTTACTTCATGAAAATTCAGAATATATAATTAAGGTGTAAAATAAAAAAATATCGCGTTTAAAGAATAAATAGATTTAAATCTTTTAGAAATGACCGGAAGTATAATTATATCGATCATAACTGAAAAATACACTGCAACAAAATATAATAAAAAACACAATATTTTTCTTACAATTTATAATAATTTATCCAATGAGTTCTTACGATATTTATCAGATCCACACATATTGATAATAAAAAAAGTTAGAGATGAGCTTATTAAATATTTAAAAAAAGTGGATTCAAAATATTTCCGAATGATTAATTATTAATAAACAGCTTAGTGAAATACTTTCATCATTCATGACCTTTTAATTAAATAAAGTGAGTCAATTAAAATAATTCGAATGGCATAACAATCAATTATTCAATGTTGATACTTTCTAGCATGCACACACACACTCTATACATATAATGAGTCCATCTACGTCAACATTATTCTATCGAACCATAATTCTAACACGAATATAAACTGCACATTTTTACCTCATGAATTCAATACAGAGGACAAGAAAAACAATATTCACACCTCTTCAGTGACGCCAGAACTTCGGTTTAAGTGTGACGATGAAACAAGCATCAAGCTTTTTGTTAATTTTTCTGCATGTTATGATGCATCAATAAAATTTAAAATCACTGGTAATTGAATTATTAGGTAAGTTTTCGTAAACGTTTAGTGTTTGGAATAATTCACTTTTTTAATAATTATCACAATAAAACAATGATCAATGAAATATATTACAAATTTTAAATGTTTTTTTAAAAACCATTTTCGTTTATTGGTGATAAAATTACTAAATATTTTTTTAATTTATTTCTAGCTTTACAATTATTCAAATTTACTTCAACTAAAGCCTTAATTTATTAAGCTCTGACTGCAACATGTTTCTGGCACTGCATTAGAAATGGTTGTTAGAAAAAAACAATGGCCAAAAAGAAATTTTATAGTGGGAATAATACTTTTGGTCGTAGGAATGATATTATACTCTTCCACAATTAATTCCAAGAATGAAACCAAAGCACAATCTACGAGACGAGCTGCATATATATTGATAGGTATTGGATCTTTTAATATTTTTTTGGGACTAATCTGTTATGTTGTACATTCGTACTCTGATAATCAACCGAGGCATTTAAATCCTATCAACACATCACAGGTGACTAATTATATTCTTATTCCTTCTTTTATCAAATTTGATTAAATATTCTAATAGCAGTATATTACAGTGAAATAATAGAATGACATTGGAAAAATAAACATTTTTTTCCATACTGGTGCATGTTGTTTTTATTCTATCTGCTTGTATCAATAGAATAATGACTATGTTGTTCGAAACATCTTTTTTTTCTATTATTAAATGAAATGCATGGACATGATGGAAATTTACAGAGAAAACATTGCAAAAACAAATCAATAAAAGTATTCAATTTTTTATAAAATGAAGTAGGCATTGAAATCAGCTTCAATAATGTTTCTAGTGTTTTATAAAGAGCAAAACTAAGGGTGTTGGATCATTTTTTTTACTATGGATTCCTATTTTATAATATTGTATAAATTGTAAAATATGTGTATAATTAATTATTCCTTCAGTTATATCCTGTATATATTTATTTCAAGTGTTTTTTCTATATCTATTGCTAATTTTACCATCAACGGATTTGGTATTGAAAATTATCAGATGAAACAAAGTTTTTTGGCAAATGTTTAGTGCTCATGAATAGTTATTTTAAAACAAAATAAAATATGTCTTCTAAATTTTATTGAATATAATTAAATTTGAAATAGAATGTGTTTACTTGGTCATTAAATAAGACAAAATTTAAATTTTTCATAGATTGAACCTTCAATCCATGTGATTGCTGTCCAAGAACCTGTGGTTGAAGTAAGGCATAGATATAGTCATGAAGAACCACCACCGAGTTATGAGGAAGTAATTAAAAATAGTCTTCACTCCTCTGAACAATTCTTGCATGTACCTACATCAAATCCATGTAATTACAACATAAGAAGCAATAGTTTGTCCAATCATCAAGTCTTACCGTCACGATCACCGATTAAGTGAGCTTAATTTGTAAATAAATGATTTATTTTTTGTAATAAAATTTTTCGAAAAAAAATCGTAATTGCTTTATTAAGTTTTAAAATAAAGAGAACAAATAAAAAAAACTTCGCTAAAAAATCAAGAAAAATTCTAATCGAATTAGATTAATTAGTGATTATTGTCATATTTCGCTCTATCTAACAGCGCGTGCAGATGTGCTTGAGTGGGGATAGAAGGAATATAAAGAGGCAATCCAAATTGAATATCTTACTCTTAATAAGATGAATCTTCTGATGAATGTTTAAATTTGTTTTATAAAATTATGATTTTTAGTAATTTCAAAAATGTTTCAAGATAAATTATATTTATTCGTTTAAATTATTATTAATTGATTCAATCACAATTGATTTTTACCGAGAAAATTGGAATTATATATAATTTTACTATGAGTGAACATGAACGTGTAAAATGGATATCAATATTGAAATCGTTGACAATTATCTTCTAGTCAAACGTTTTACACTGTTATTTCCAATTTATGATTGTAATAATTGAATAGTGACCTCAGAAAAAAATCACAGAACACTCAATTCTTTTCTAAGTCAATGTTTTAATATTTATTTCAGAATTTTTTAGTTAGTCTCCATATTTTCTGAAGTTTCAACCGTAAATATGACTTCTGATCAAATATCTTTTATAAAAATTAAATAAAATGATTTCAATAAACAATAATTTTCAGTGAAAGTATTATTACCTTGTTCAGTTTGAGTATCGTTTTTTGTAGATCATTGTTTTCAGTGCACTGATATGATATCGATGTAGAGGTGAGTGAGGCTTTATTATTCCTTGATCAAACAGAAAAAAGTTGCTTCGTTTTAATATCGTCTCAACTGAAGCACAAAAGACATAACCGAATTAATCAAAGAAGTACCAACTGTTGGAGTATGAGCAACATTTATTTATTACTTTATTTATGACATCATATGACTCATTTCTCAAGTCTACTGTATGAATCTTACGCAGCATGCTTACATCAAACTGTTGTATGTTGTCTTGCGTTAGGTTTCTAACGACAGACTTACGAATGTCTGATGTAGATTTGGCCCCAAAGGATCGTTCATGTATAGATGATTTGTATAAAGTCTGGTTTATGATAGAACTATGTTTCAGGCTAAGTTGATATGACTTTTTAAAATATTTTTATATTATTTATTCAATGTTTAAAACTGATTCAGACTTGAAAAATATTACATAGCTTTTATACAACATTTTAGATTTTATTTTTAGTTTTAAATAAATTAAATTTTATATTTTTTAAATCATACTTTGATTCTTTCCACCAATAATTTCCAATACTAACTGTCCCTGCAGGAACATGTAAGACATATTTATTACGATTCATGTTGGAGATGTGCGGTTCATGCAATATTTGAAAGAGTGAGAACAATTCTTCTTTGGCTATATTCAATACATTTAACTGCACGATTATAGAAGCCAAGTTCTGTATAAATACAGTTTTTTTTTTTTTAAACCAATATTTACAGTGTACAGAATGAAAAATATTTATGATAAGGAATTATGCCAAGAAAAACAATATTTTTCTAAGGATATTTCAATAATCATTTATTCCCACTAATTATTTCAATGTTAATGTCATTTCATTTATTTTATTACATAAATAAAGGATAATGAGTAAAATTTTTTTACATACATATAATAATATGGATCTATAATAATAATAATAATAATAATAATAATAATAATAATAATAATAATAATAATAATAATAATAATAATAATAATAATAATAATGAATATTGAGGTAATTATGGAAATTAAATTTTTTTCTATTTTTTTTTATTCACGTAAAGATAATAATGTTAATAAATTAAATAAATTCTTTGAACTTTAATGCAAGTGATATTTTTATCATAACATGTATAATAAATATTAAATACAAGATCGATGAAAAACAGGGATAAAATATTAAATAATCAGTTACTGTAACGCTTTTGAATGAGTAAGAAGAAAGGACGTGGTCTCTTGTTTTTTATATTTTATTCAAGTAAATAATAAGAGTCCTAAAAATTATGAGTTCAAAATAATAAATAATCATGATGAGTAGTCACATTTGTCATTGCGTTCACATTAAATCATGAAGTAAATTATAGTTAATATTGACGAGTTTAAAATATGGAATAATGCAAAGGAATGTGTTATGTTCAAAGCACTTAACTTGAGCTTGAATTGGTGAAGTTGAAAATTAATGCAAAAATATGTTAATATAAGCTTTTTGTTTGTCTCGCTTTTTCAGTGAAACAATAATAATTATAGGATTTTATGCTATTGTATAAATTTTAATATAATTTATGCATTCTAATATTTTTTTTACATTTCAGAAATGCGGAGAAATACCTTTCGACGATCTAAAACATGTCTTGTGTATAGTATAATATTATTTGTGATCGGAATATCATTATATTATTCCAATGTTGATTCAAAGAAATATCCTGTAGAACCTGTCAGATTCTCTGGATTAATGTGTATGCTATTTTCGGCGGCGTTAGTTTTCCTTGGACTGTGTTTGTGGGTGTGTGAAACAACTCCTCAACCTACTATTTCAGTAAATAACATAAAATAATATTTTATATATTTTAAAACAAAAAATTTCTAGTTTACTTTGATAAATTCTATTACCAAAAATTTTAAAATTACTTTTATAGAGAGAGCCACAAATCCATATGATCAGTGTTCAAGAGTCAGTGATAGCTCCAAGAGAACCTCAAGTAGATTACAGTCAAGATCTACCTCCGAGTTATGAAGAAATAATGAAATGCCATGTAGGTGTTCCAATCAATTCAGTACCTAATGGCGCCTCTGTATCATCACCTTCAATAGTCATGGCTGTGCAAGAGAATATTGGACAAGATAATCTTAACTTAAACCATTTCACTGTACATTCTCAACGATCACCGTGTGCTAAGTGATGCCACTTTGTATTTCTATTTGATTTTTTTATACATTCATAAGTAATAAAGCAAATATTTTCAAAGTTTGTTCATGAATTTTAGTAGAATCATTTAATCAAACTTCCTGAACAATCACAATCTCATGTTGATTATCAGATAAAAGGCTTATTTTGTTTTATGAAGGAATTCAAGAGACATACATTGAAGAGGTTGCTTCATGCGTCAGGACGCCCTAGTATGAAAGTTTTTAGAGCAAATAACCTGCTCTCCAAAATAGCGTGACATTATCAGTGAGTAGGTTTCTCTCAACTATTTTGACTTTTCAGTAAACAATAATTCCAGTTGGTAATAAAATGTATTCATATGTTAACGCTAATCTGCTGCTTTTCAATGTCGTCAGGTCAAGAGTGGATTCTGGTTCTCTCCGTGAGTCTCAGATTTTGTGCTTTCTGTTAACGTTCTTCAACCTTTGTCGAAACTCTTTTCAAGATTTTTAATTGTAAAGATTTGTAATGTGCTTTATATTTATCTGCATTAATTAAATACTTCTTTATTGAATCACTTGAGTATCCGTCTGGTCTGGATAATCAAAGATTAATTTCATCTTATAATATCGATGATGGCTAGTGACTTCCTACCTCAAAACTACCTAAAACATTCTTTTTGGCTATATCTGATGAGATTTAATTAGATCTATGAATACTTAAATAACAACAATAAATTTTATATTTTTATCATAATAAATGACAACGAATGCTGTAACATGCTCCTTTTTAAAACAACATAGTTTAATAAAAAATGATTAATTTCTTTTTTAATATTGTAAGAAATAGTTAATTTTTATTTTTATGCGTAAAATATTTTAGTACTGTCAAGGATGTTGATGAATATTTTTACTTATGTATGAAAGTATGTCATTAAATAAGTAAAACTCACCTGATTGAACATACTTTAATTACTAAATCAATAGTTGATGGTATGACAATATTATTTCTAATCATATCTAATGCAAATAATATTTTTTCTATATCAAATTACATGAAAGGTCATATTTAATTACGTCAGCATGTGAAACAGTATTTTTTTTTTCAAGAAATAGTAAAATATTGTGATAATATAATCAGTTAGTTTAGTATTGTTAGAGAACTTGGACGATAAAACTAATAGCAAAAATCAACATCACAGGACTTGACTAAATTTTCATACATTGTATGTAATACCAATGTTTTAATATATATGTGACGAATAATTTTTGATGATTATATAAAATCTATCTTGTTCCAGAAAATGATTTCAAGCAAAAATCAACCATCAAAACTAAGTTTTTTCTACAGTATTGGTCTTTTTATGATTGGAATTGCATTATTTTTTTCCAAACTTGATTCGAAGGAAAACAATGTGAAACCTGTTCAATACACTGGATTGATATGTATCTTATCATCATCACTTTCAATTTTCGTTGGCATAATCACTTGGATTCGTCAATTACCATATGCAGATGATGGAATAGTAAGTAATACAAATATTTCACACCTGACAATGGATCATTTAATTTCAGCTTCTTGAAATATATAGAAGATTTACTTCGCTGTATATTTATATTTAATTAAACTATCAGGTTCAAGCTAATACAAGAAGTGACAAAGAATTAATGTCTTCAAGCCGTGGATCAAGGAAAAAGATGAGCATGTCAGCTTCCAACGATAAAGATAAAATCGAGAATAATTTTAACCCATTAATAAGAAAATCATATAGTGCTCCAGTTACAGCAGATTTTTATAAAAAATCATCAGATAAAAAGAGTGTTAAGGATTTTGATAAAAATGTGGATGATACTACTGTTCCAGCACGTCCATTTTCTTTTAATAATTGAATCAAATCGAACGATAGTTTTTTCATTCGTTTCATTTCTATGAAAAAAAACTCTACACGTGTGTGATTGTTATTGTGATCTATTTTTAGACTATCATTTATTATTTGTAACGAGTAATTCATAAATCGTTACTAATACTATAAATACTCCTAATATTGTGGTAGAATATGAAAGTAATAGCAAATAGGGTAAATCTAAAGTGGATAAAAATAACACACTTAGTGTTTCTAATCATGAATTTTACCATACATAGACGAAAGAGATTAAAAATAACTACAAGGTGTTATCATTTATGCATGTAGTTTTGACAAAAATAATACTAATTCTGGAGAGAATGAAAGCTTTTGAAAGTACATTATCTTGTTTCCAGAACATTATCATGTTGAAACATACAAAGATATATTTTGACTTTAAAAGTTTTTAAAATTTAACTTGTTTTTGTGAGTATTGAAGTTTTAGTCTTAAATAAATTTCAAATTATGCTCTTAGTCTCTTTCAAATCTGCTCAAGATCAAAACAAGATTAATATTTTACTTATGACATTATTTTAACAAAATAATGACTTGGAAATCTTCTTAACACTTCTTACTACTTCTACTTTTTCCAGAGGTAACATGATTTTCTCTGGATAACTATCATTTCTTTAATTAAAGAAATAATAGTAACTTCAGTTCATGCCATATAAAATTATCATTCATTGTAATTAAATTATTTTTATTTTCAAAGTAATAATTTAAGCTTTCTTCCCATTTAAGCTTGGATTGTTAAATTTTTTAATAACTTTTAACTTAACAGAGAAAGAAAATCAGTAACAAATGGGTAAACACTAAAAATACCATTAATTTTCATCGATAAATACCCTTTATTCGATCGGAGTTTAACATTTATACTTACTTAAAGTATATTTAATCAAACTTATATCGTAAAATTTCATAAATAACAACAATAGTGATAAGATGTTTTAAAGTAACAATATTACAAATAGAGCCGATAATAATCATCAGTTCAAATAATTCAAAAATTATTATTCATAAATAATTACTTAAAAATTGAAAAATATTAACTTGGCCATTATGTAGAAAATTAAAAAAAAACGGTCAATTACGATCTTTTACAGAATTATGGTGAATTTATAAAAAACTAACAAAATCAATTGGAATTTTATCCAAATATCGCTATTTTAGTTAATTATTACTCTCACTACACGTGCTGATTAAAGTATATTTACTCGCTTATTTTGTTGATTTAATTTCTGTTCATGTGAGTTGTTTTCACTTTTCATTCCTTTATTCTTTTAAATTAAATTGTATTTATTTGTTATCTTAGTACTGCATTCTGTTTGACATTTGCATACATAATTTGTATTATTATTTTGTTCTAATACTGTATTTACATTATCACTTTCTATGTAATAGCTGGTAGTAAAAATTAGTTTACTTAGTTTAATATGCGTTGAAATTGCTGTCAAACATGTTCATGTCACATTCGTATACTTTTTAGATAGTTTTACGCTTAAAATGGTAAATTTTGTATTCGTTCATTTATCTTTATTATTACGTTCTTAATTTTTCTTTATGAAGTAATATTTAGCATAAGCAACGAATTGTGCACAAGAATTTACTTATAAAAAATATGTCATAGTAATTTCATATCAACTCAAATCTAAATGAAGTAAGTCGTGTGGCATGAACACCTTAGACCTTCATAAAAGTATTCAAAGTAGAAGATTGTATTAACTTTTACTTTAGTTTCGTTCCTTTGATAGGGGGAAAAAGTCAATCTGCATAACATTTCTCACATAAACATATTCTCACGGTGTGTACACTTATTATTTCATAATTGATCTAATCAGTTAGATCAATAATTGTATTGAATTTTATTACAATTCTTTTATATTTATCATTTGTTTATTCATTAATTTATATTGTATATTTTAGTTACATTTTGATAGTCTTTTATTTGTATTTTTCTGTTTTAATGTACACGACATGAAAGAAAAGCTAATGAAAAAATTTTGTCATTATTTATTATGTTATTTAGGTCTATTTTATCATTATTAATATTTTTCACAGTCTTTCTTTTATCATCGTATTAAATGTAAATGTCTTCTTTGATGAATCTTTTCTTTTTATTTTTAAAATATAGTTGAAAAAAGCTTCATACGCAAATTCTCATGAATTATCATCACAAATAAAACATACAACAATGGATGTAAAACAACATCAGAGATATAAATGAAAAGACATATATGATGAATAATCTATGCATGAGTTTTGTTATTCAAAGAAAATGTAAACTAGATGTAGACGCGTCCATAGAATATGTTTTGAACAACCTATTCACAATTAATTATTACTATTGTTGACAATATAATTTGAACGAATTTTATTAAATGACCAAGTATATCTTTAATTCAGTTTTTGTCTGTAAACATAAAACGAACCGACAATAATTCAATTAAGCAATTAAGTAATTTCATTTGAAATTAATTGGTCAATGTGGGATTTAAAATAACAAGGAAAAAAATTTTTCAACTATGACAATAATTGATTATTTATCTTTTATAATAATAAATAACAACATATTTATAATAATTAATAATAAATAAGATCTACGTTATAACAAAATTTAAAATAATGTAAGCTACTTGGTGAAAAAAATTTTAATTAAACATTTTCGTATTTTTCATATTCAAATAGTTATTTTTATGACATTATACTCAGCAAATCGATTAAATGTATTATTTCGTGATTTCTGATTAAAATATTTAGATCTGTAAGGATCTTTCTACACTCTGTTGGTAGATAATAACTATTGTGTTTGTATGAACTGACTAAATAACAAAATTGTGCATTTACAAATGTATCAATAAATATTATTATAAGAAAGGAAAAGAAAGTAATGTGTTGTAAAATAACATATAATTGATTGATCAATGATTTTTTATATAAAACATGAACAATTATTGCACGAATTAATAACAATTATTAAGATTATAAATAAATAAATATGCTCTACAGTTCCATGCAAGAAAATTTACCCTCACTTAAAACTGTTTTCCCCCATGTGATGCTTCATTATTCATTAAATTTTGAATATTCATTCTCGTTCCTACTAACTTTTGGCAATAATAAATTCGTAATATACACCTTATAGACGATTAAAATTCGACTGGCTGTCATTTTTCGAGTATACCTCACAAGGATTCTCGTTTATTGACATTCTTAAAATCTAAAATATTATATTCTATCTCATTTTATTAGTGAGTAATCAATTATTTCATTCATTTAACGATTCATTTCTTAGTAATATAATTATGTGATATTTTTTCTGTACAAACTATAGACAAATATCATTGGTATACATTTTTTCATTAACTATTTGATTTTAATAATTCATCAATTATTTTAATGACTTTATTACTTATTATTTAATTATAAGGTTATTCGTTAATGAGAGCTTTAGGCGCGATGACAGCAAGTAAGTGATTATTCAAGACAGTAACAGTGACAGATATTATGAATAGTAATGATTATTTACGATGAATTATTTATTGATTCTCTAGTTTGTCTATTAATTAATAATATTAATTAATTTTTCATTCACAATGATGATTGCAATAATAAATACCAACATCTTAAAAACTGTTTACTAATTTTACTAATTAGTTTTTATTCTTATAACTTTATTTTTTTTTACTTAATGTAATAAGCAAGCTTATGTCCTTTACTTTAATTTTTAGTCAAGAGAAACAATATAAATGACTAAATGTTAATGATTTTTACACATTTTTTGAAAACTCACGATATATTTTAATGATATAAATATATCGTGACAATCTTAAATTATTTACAACCTTTTTTATTATCGCGTGAGCGATTTTTTCTTTGTATTAATCTAAAATTATTATTTACAATGTTTTTTGTGCAATTCAAATTGCATTTTATGATTAATTGCAACATAAAATTATTCTTTAAGAGAAATAATTACTTTAATTGGCAGAAATCTTTCTCATAATACTAGTTTAAAAATGTCATACGCTTTAATCATTAAATAACAAAACCACATTAGTGTTTTTCATTTTAAAATAAAATAATTTCTATTATATTTGCACATTTGTCCCTTTTATTCACAAACGAAATACTGTTGAACGTTTTAAATAATATTAATTTAAAAAATCCCATTAACGTTGGCAAGCGAATGCTTTTGAGTTATTTCCTATTTACGAGATTCAACCTCGAAACTGATGGTCTCAGATGGGCGTAGGTAAGACCGTGAAGTCTTGAAGAGCAGTCTTGACTGTTTCATACGTTGGTCGATTAGCTTCATCAGCACAATAGCCATCCGGTGTGCATAAAGTTTGTAATTTCGTTAGATAACTGTCGAAATTTTCGTGGCCCATTTTCTCTGGTAGGCCGCCAGGCGCACTAGGTATTCGTACATGTTCCAAGATCGTTATCATATTATCACGGATAGATTGGTAGTAGTCATTGAGGTGATTGTTCCTCTGAGCAACTGCTGCAGTTTCCTAATTATAAAATTAGTTTATTAATTTTATTCCTTATTATAAAGTATTTACATTCATTTAGTTGAAGACTTTTTGATATAAAATTCATTTATTGATGTAAAAATGAAAACTTTTATTTTTTTAAATGACAAACATTTCCTTCCTTTCAAACAATAATTGTTGATTTCTCATTTTTATTAATCATCTCTTTTTGTTAAAATTTAATATAAAAAATTTTAAAATGTAGTTAAAAGTTTTCTTGAATGGTTGTAATTGTTTCAGCTATCGTCAATGTAGATTTTTTATAAGAATATCGTTAACTAATTGTTAATTGATCAGTAAGAAATACTGTGAATGATTGAGGGAAGGAAAGAAATGTTTGATATCAAAAAGAGGTATTTAACCGAATGAAGATACTAAAATATTCGATGTTACCGGCAGACTATAGCTTACCTTTTCTCCGTTTTTGAGATGATTCTCCATAGCGGTGACCTCAGAACGCAGACGCATAACCTGGGACTCGACCCGGGCGTTTTCTCTCTGTAACTCCGTGATCTCGGCCTCCAGTGTGTAGAGGTCTTCGCCCTGACCACCAGCAGATCCGCTACCGCTTGTGCTTCCCTGACCCGCACCCAACGGACCACCCTGAGCCGGACCACCGGCTTCCACCCCTGAAGGACACAACCCCCGTTTTAAATTACGTTTTTTTTTCATAGTTCTCGATTCATTCTTACTATCTTTATTTCATTTTTTTCTTTTCTTTTTTAATATTTTATCGAAGTCTTAGGATTGTTCGAAATAAATTGAATTCTTCTAATATAATTCACGCAATTATGTCTTCACTAATCTAAATACCATAATTTTGATCGCAATTATTAATATTTATTGATATTTTTCATGGATGATGCTTAGATAATAATAGCATAACATTTTATTTTTTTTAGTAATTTGACAGTCTTGTGTCATTTGGATTAATTTTTTCATCTCTTAGTCAAATAAATTTTGATTAAAAATATTTATTCAACTTTTTTACGATTGTATGTTTTAGATTAATATTTTTTCCAAATTTTTTAAAATAATCTCTTTCACATGATAACTGATAAATGTTATAACCATTCTGTCGTTATCATAGATACAATTATTCATAACTATTTTCAACGATTAAAAAAATTTAAAAATAGCAAGAATGAAGTTAACGATACGTAAAAAACTATAAACGCGATGCAGACCTGCTGGCGTTATTCTAAGATTATCTTGATATTATTACTATTACTATTATTATAGTTATAATCATGATGATTATTCTTATTGTTATTATTATAATTAATTATGATTAATGTTATTATATTATTATTCGTAATTTTTCTTTGAAAAATTATTTAAGCATTGTTGTAACAGACCTCTTTTGAGTACTTGAAGAGGTGTGCGGAGGATAAAAAGGCGTGTTGCGTAACACGAAATGTAGCGAGCAAATAATGAAGGTTTGTGGAGAGGGGGTGAAACAATACGTAATTTTCCACAGCGAGTTGGGTCATAGAGATCGATTTTATGTACTCACTGTTCTTTTTTATTTCACACGATTTTATAACATGAAAAATTATTTCAAATTAAAATGTAATAAAGTATAACAACTTGTATGCCAAATCGCTGCGAAAGGATATTTTGCGATTATTATTATAATTTCTGTTTTCTTTCATTTAAATATTCAAATGGAGGGAAATGGAAATGTGATTGGTGATGGAAAAGTTCATTTTATTATCGGAATTTTAGGAATAGCGTGAGGTGCCATCATACCAGAATTGAAAATGACTCCGAGCGTTGACTTGTACTACTTAAATTATTATTTAAATACTTTTTTTTTCAACTAAAATATGCAATTGATCTTAATTTAGTCTAAAAAATATTTTTCAGTATTCCGTGCAGAAAATTAGAAAAATTAAATTTCAACATTGTGCAGAATTCTTTAAAAAGAACTTCAAATTATTTTGTTATTAACTTGAATTTTTAAAAATAATTTCAAAAGGAAGCTTAAAGTAAGAATATCAGTTTCAATTAATATTCAAGTATTGAAATAATGATTTAAATAATTGAAAAGTGAATTAACAAATTATTACATGTTGAGAGTGGAAGAGAAACAAAAAAAGTAGGATTGAAAAACAAAAAAGAAAAATTAAATGCTAACACTCGGATACTGTTCGATGAAATTAATACACTCGTGTAAAATAGTTTTTGTATTCAACACCGAGAAAAAAACACATAGAAACATATGGCGAGTACGTCAGTCCCTTACCTTCAAAAGTAAATGTTATCCTCAAAGTTCAATGGCAGGAAAGGAGCTGATCGTGATCCCAAAAATAAATCAGAATAGATTATTGCTCATTATACTGCATTAAGGTCTTTAAAAGTGATTTTCATCATTAATTTTAATTTTAATTATCTCAGCATTTCTTCATCTCTCTTTTTCTCCCTCTCTTGCACATGAGAATAAATGTCTCCGATCAGAAGAATTTATGTATGGAAAGGAATAAAATTAACTTCAATAAAATTCTTTTTCATCTCAAATAATAATATCAATGAAAATAATGTTTTTTCTCTTTGATGATTCCTAATGTAAAAAACGTTCATAATTATAGAATATGATGTAAAATTGTCGAAAGTATGATTCTCTCATTTAACAATATCTTCAACTTTTAAAGAATAATTCAAAATATTTCTTTTCAAATTAATTTTACAAGAAAAAGATTTGTTATAAATAAAATGATTTAACTAGTTTGATCATATTTCGATCAATTTTATATTTTATCGTTCATGATTAATTGTGAAATAATTAATAAATCATTCTCGACAATTGCAGTTGAATATTCATGAAAAAATATAATACTTATGACAATGTACAAAAAAAATTAAAATATGTTCAAAAAAAAAAATGATCTTCGATACGCGATCCACGTAAGGAGAAAAGTCAATATTTATTCAGACAGTGTTAAATGAATAGAGAGACGAGGAGAAGGTCAGTTTCATTGGTATGATAGCACATCATTGCGTGGATAACACACAGGAAAGGCTTCAGGTATAGCGTAGCGATATCAAATACAGAAATAAATGTAAAAATTTATCGAGATATCAATGAAAACGATTAATTTCTTTCGAATTTGAAATTATTTTCATGAAAAAATCGAATGGAGTACGTCTCTCTGCTTGCAAGCTCAAAAAGTCTATCAAAGATATCCTTTGACGCAACTCGAATGGGTTTATCGTTTGTGTGAGACATTTTAAGAGTAGTAAGTCAGCAATCTCAATAAATCCTCACTGAGGATCTACGTATCGATTTTCAACCCCTTTCTCCACCTACGTTGAAGATCATCATTCTCTACAAGAGCATTAAAATGTCTTTCTCATTCCTCACCGTTGATTCCTTTGTACATGCCCGTCATGTCTTCGAATTTTGTTGGCTTTCTCAAAGTATTCCCTGCTATTGGACATCCTGATAGAGATCTGTGCGTTGAAAAGGAACCATTTACGTGTCCAATTCCATCACAGCCTGGTGTAGGACAATTTACTCCTTCAAATTTCATCGCCGTCGCTGCTGCTACTGCTGCTTTATGTTGCTCTACTGATCCACATGATTCTAAGACTCTTGATTTATTTCTGTTTGCTATAGGACAGCCCGAAGCACTAAAAAATAGTAATGGTTACAGGTTGTAGAATCATGCTCTATTTCACAGTATATGAGAATACTTTTTTATGCAAGGAAAGTGATGATATCATTGAAAATAATCTTACTTAAAATTTTTAAATCAAATTCAATATCACAAACAAAATATACTCAGATATTAAGCTACTGCTTGTATCAAGTTTTTGAGTTAGATTTTTAGTACTTCATTGCAACTTTATATTTTCTACAAAAGGGATCATGTAAACATGGAAACGAAAAATTTAAAAACTGTTGTTAGAACAAAAGCTAAATAATTTCTGTTTTCTCCACTATGATAATTCTAATGAATTATATAAGCTCAATCCTTCTTATAACTCATTACGAATTAACATCAAAATCGTTTGTCTACATTTATTAAAACCTTGCCCATCAGCAACAAAGAATTGTTGGATTTTTCGGTAAATCGACTTTACTACTTTATCTAACCCATAAACGATATAATAATTTATATGAATATAACTTTCTATGTCAAATGAATAGTCTTTTCGTTCTAATGTCATCAACTAATTTTATGAAAAAATTCAAAAGGTTGACTATTACCCATATATATAAAAAAAAAGGTTAGTAATCAAAGATTATATGACATGAAAAAACATTCTTTAATGTTTTTCAAATCCTTTTTTACCTTCTGTGTGACAAAAATTTGCCTGTAGCATGTCCTGAACCGTCACATCCTGGTATAGGACACCTAAAATTTAAATTAAGTCTTAAATTTAACTATTAGTATTAAATACTACATACTTGTTCAATTATCTATAACAACAATATTTCAATTAATTAAAGATTAATTAATTAATTATAATTTAGATGATTTTCTTCAACAGAATTTATGTTAAATTACTTTTTTATCTTCATTAAAATTAATGAATATAAAAAATATATACCTTAATGGCTCGGAATCTTGTCCATCTCTTGGTTTACTTTTTGGTTTATTTGCACGCGGACATCCAGAAAGACTTCTGTGCGAACTGTAGTTTCCGGTGACATGTCCGGAACCGTCGCATCCGGGTGTCGGACACTTGAGCTCTTGTGAGTGCGCTTGAATCTGCGAACGATCTGCTCTTGGACATCCTGACAGACTACAACATTGAAGAAGCAGAAACAAGATAAAATGAAAATACTTTATATATTAACACAGGTATTTTACCTAAAATTAAATAATTTACATCAACCGGTACAAAATATAAATAAAAAACTGAAATAAAATGTTCCAGGCCAATTATTATTTCTTTTAGTTGTGATCAATATCTTACTTTTAAATAGAATAATTAAATTATCTGAACCTACACCTCACGATTGAAAATTCGTTTGATTAAACAATAATTGTTTTAACTGAAATGTTTAAATCAATTCTCTCAATATTCATAATTAAATCTAGAAATATTTACAACTAAAGTTCTGGATATTCATTTTTATCATGAGTTGGTGGTTTGTTGATGATTTAAGTATTTTTATATTTATTCAAATGATAAACATGCAAATGGCAATATTCTGTTCCAGTTGGATCAACTCGTGAGGTGTGGCTCAAAGATAGATGAATATAAATAAATATATTCATACATTTACTTCAAATAAAAAAAAAACATCAATAATAAAGGAATGCTGGGAGCAACACTCACACCTGACCCCAATGAAACTTATCAACTGCCAATTTTTGACTGAATAATTATCATCAGATTCAAGTATTTGGAATTTAATTAACAGATTAATTAAATCAATATTCGATATCTATGTGTCTTTCAAAACTTTACGGACATGGTCATTGACTTTTCGCTACTTGGCTGCCCACGTGAGGCTGGCTTCATTCTTAGTATTATCACTAAATGAAATGATTCATGAAAAAAGGCTAAGAATAATTAAAATAAAAATGATTTTTTCATCCCTCTTTCGTAGGGGTCGGGTCATTTTGAAGGATCATATTAAAGGGGAATGACATTCCACATCAAAAATAATACTACCAATAGCATTGGAAATATTACGTAAAAATTATTACGTAAGAGAAATAGATACAGAGAGTGAAAAGAGATAAGAAAATTATTTGTAATAACAGGAATTGATTGGATTGGTATTAGAGGAATTTTTGTTTTCAGCAAATTTATGATTTTTAAGTTGCTCTTATATGTATGTTTTCTGAATAATTATTTAGGAGTTTTTTCATGGAATAATTATATGATTGTCTGTTTTTCTAGCTCAACATTAGGCCAATGTATTCAAGCTTGCTGCAGTGTGTTGATAAAATATTGCGAATAAAAAATTGCATCAGAATCTTGTGCTGGAACTGATGGTTTCAGAAGATTCATTATCAATTTCAATAAATATTTCTCAAACTTGCTCTGATAGGAACAAAAAGATGCTTGTATTGATTCAATTTACTCAAAAAATATACATATAACGTTTAAGTGAGGATAAGGAAGCCAGATGGAAAAATATCCTGATAATTTCAATATGATTTGTATTTATAATTTTATGGTGATCTATTTAGAAGAAAGTGAATGTCTCGAAAGAACCAGAATCAAGTCTGATTCGAATTACTGATAATTTTATTGATAAGAGATATTCATAAACAGATCAGTGGTACTATTCATCAATACCACTTGATAAAACAAATTTTTAGCTTCACATACTGCTGCTTGGTATTTGCTTATCAACGAAATCAGTCTAATTTTGATTAAATTATATGTACAAATCATTGGAATAGCATCAATAAAATTTTTCCACCTAAGAAGAAAGGATTTCAACGACTGTACGTGCTATAATTACCGGTGTTAATGACAATAAGTAACATTTAAAATAAAACTGATCATAATAATATGTGATAAGAATGAAAAACAAAAAAATGACTTGACTGATTTGAAATTGAAACGCCTTGCCTTCTGTGGGTAGCGTAGTTGCCAGAGGCATGACCCATGCCGTCGCAGGAAGACGTAGGACATTGAATCAGCTCCTTTCCATCGCGGCCACGAGGGGTTGACCGAGGTGAGAAAGTCAACGATTGTCTCCTCGCATTCATACTGCACGAGACATCAGGCAGTGAATCAATCTCACGTTTACTGTCATTGTTTCTATTTCTTTTGTCTATAAGGTTTTCCTTTTCCTGCATTTCATATACTCGAGAGAAAGAGACGTAAGAGGCCAGAGAAACGTGTTTAGCTTCCAGAGTAGAGAGTAAAGAGACTAACTCATCCCATTTACTCTACGACTTTTCGTCTCTGCGCACGGACGAGTCTGCAGAGCCACGAGAAAGCTTGAAACCTCGATGACCCTTGAGTGGCCGCGATATTGCCCGCTACTACCGCCTTCAAACCCACCCTCAACCCCTGAACGAACCAACCACTGGACCATCAGGGTCTTGAGTGCAATCACGCCACGTATTCCTCCTCAGTCTCGGGAAAGAGCTCCTATATAAGAGCTTGATATTGCACGCACTTCTAAGAATTTATTTCATTTCAAGACTTTTATCCTTCGATTTTTTTATATCATTCCTCTTATTGCCATCAGTCATTTTTTCTAAATATTTTTACATGATATAGACAAAAAATTCTTTTATAACAAGTAATGTTTCAGGTTGAATAATGATATTTTTGGTGCAGTTTTGAAGAGCTTTTCATGATTTCTTGCAATAAATATTACCAGAATAAATATGTTTATCAAATACAGTATTATCTGATAATGCATAATTTATTTTGCTTAATAAAAAGCCATGGTGGAAACAAGACTGGTACACTCCTGATTCAATACTAAGCTAGTCTCATCAACCATGACCCATTGTTGGTCTTGGAATGGGTCAACAATTTTGCACCCTACTAAGAATATTATGGAAAGTTTTACTTCAAGTTTAATAGAAAAAATGAATAAACAATTATTGACATGAACACAAAATATTTTGAAACAGATTGTCTTTATTTTTTCATGTAAAACTTGACCAATAATTTAAATATAATTGCTCAACATGTTAATTCTTGTGTTTAGACGTTTTCATGAATAAATAAGATAAAATGTTTTTAAAATAAAATATCTTTCATATAAAATTTCTAAACCTTGTCTAGAAATAAAACCATGCATTCTTCACTTATCTTCATTTAAACTTGGGAGAAACTTTATTTTAATCAATATGGGTTTTTAAAAATCTTTCAATTTTTAAAAGAGGCAGATATAGACAATTTATTCTTACATTACTGCATATCATTATAATATTAAAGCCTCAATTTCATCCGTCTTTTATCTTTTATTACTCTACACAACTTCTAGAAATAATTTTCCATTGAGTTTATTGATTTTGACTGTAAATTTGAGGAAAATAAATTATCTTGTACGACACAAGAAGCTTATCCCAGAGGCACGGACATACCTACCGCTTCAATAAACGTCCGAGAGGATAGCTAATACGGTTAGGACGCGAGCTAGTATATTAGGTGGTTATATTGGCTGAAGCCATTAATAACGTTGAAGTATCGCTATCGACTGATGGAGAGAACAGTGGTGAATACAACAACAATACCGCAAGCATCTCCATCCCCATTTTATATCCTCTACATTGCACATCTCGTGGCTCCTATACAAGTCCGTGATTTATAAAAATATCTCGAATTTTACTCAAGAGTAAATACCCATCAATTACGAAAATCAGTTATTGAGAAATAGTCTTTTTTTCAATTTAAAAATAATTGATTTAAAAGAATTGTTTAATAATTCTCTCCATTGTTTAGTATAATTTATAAATGAAGAACTTTTTTAACGATAATTTAAAGAAAAGAAATAAAGATAGTATTTTGATTGATAAAACAACAAATGAAACTTCATGACAAAATTCTAAGAATCGTTATTAAAATTATTTTAAAATATTGCTAAAAATTAGGATAAGAATATGAAGATCAAAAGAACTAATTAAAGTGTTTATTAAAAGTAACAGATTAACTCAATTGACAAATATGACATCGAGTCAATACTAGTCTCAGTTACAAACTAAAAATAAACAAACTAGTTGAGCATTACTGACAACCAATTCGTTATCAGTCCAACACATACATATAACATGACTCCAAATATTTTACAATACTTGTAAATTTAGTTCATAGGTTCTAAATATCCAAGTTACTTTTATTTTCCTTGAACTATAAAACTTGATTTAAATAAATATCAACAAAAACTTAAAAATATATATTCACAAAGACAAATAATCTTTTTTAATGATGATTCGTTGAAATATGAATTTTTCGAGAATAAATTTAAACCAGCAGTAGCTGGAATTTAGTTTGGATAATAATGGGTAATTTAGGGAAGCAGTGGAGAAGAGAAGAATTTGGTAGAAGAAAGGATACACGCAGCAGTTTCAAAATCATGTACGAAGGAGTTTTAGGTTTCTAACTCCAATGGGACGATGGATCTCACCTTATAATCCAGTGCGGTAGCAACTGATTATACTCCGTTCACTCCCCGCGGTCTTATCCACCACCTTTCCATACTAAAATCTACCCTCTTCGTCTCATTCTCCTTTAGCATCGCCGCACTACCAAGCTTACGTCAATTAGAATAAGGTTGGCACTTTCGTTACGAAGAGTAATTACTTTAATTAACAAAATGAAGGTGCTGGGTGAAGTTGTATATACTATAAGCTTGCATTTCGTACCAAGCTTTAACATTCCGATACGGTGCGGCGAGCTGCAGGCGATTATCGACGTACAAGAATATTTCTCGTATGTTCCCACAGGCATTAATTAATATTTGAAACCTTTAAAATTCGATTCCCAGCATTCTGCTGATAAATCTTACCCGTCATCCTTGCCTGAAGGCTTGTCCAAGCTTCCAATGGTATGTTGAGGTGGTGGCATACTGTAACATGGTGCTGGACTGTATCCTGGTATTTGGTAGCCAGAAGTCACTGGTCCACCTGGATAACTACCACCACAATTATATCCAGCCGTTGGATAAGGAGTATAAGTATTTCCTGGGTATTCAGGCTGAACTGCCGTCATTCCGTAACCTGGATGAGGACTCATTGGTCCATATGCTGCAATAAAATAATTTATGATTATCATCGAATGTATGTACTTTTAAAGGTTTATTGATTACAAGATTTTTAATAAATAAAATTGTTTCTATATTTTATAATTCTTCATTTAAATAGACCAGTTGTTCATAATATGCTTTGAACTGGATCAATGATTCATTATGAAATATTTATAATCTGTTTACACAAATGACATTTTTCTTTAGGCTATATAAAATTAAACATGATTTTAACAAAGAAGCTTTTTTTAGAGTTATTGAAACCATATGAGAATGTTAAATATTCATTTTACTCCTTCAATAAATAATTATCAAAACATAAAGGATGTCAATAAGTGTCATGGCAGAACATCTGGACAAAATTAGATAATTCTATTTTTAGTAAATTTTTCAGGCTGTTTGATAGAATAATTAAACAATTAGGAGAATACTTTAAATTAAAGTCTTAAGTTATATTACTTAGTTATATTTTAATTTTTTGAAGCTGATATAATTGTTTTCCAATGATGAGAATACAAGTATATTTGATCATACAACATTAATTTCACCATTTGAAAATAGATTATTCATATTCCAATAAAATGCATTCTCTTCCATTAAATTTTCATAAAATTGTTGAATTTTTGTTCATACATGTTTTATTAATATGAATTTCTTCAGTAGCTTGGATGCCATGATGAGGAATGTTTTCAGAGAATGAGAGGGACGTGAACGTAGCTGTTGTACTCGAATGTTTCAATTTCAATAACTACTCCCTCGCGTACAAGGAAGCGAGTGGGATGAACGGACAATATTGCCGTCGCTGGACTTTTGCTGTGTACGCGAAATATTGATAATTAACAATGGTCGTGTTTCCAGCGCCAGAGAACAGCTAGGAAAGAGTCATGAGCGGTGTGGTGGAGGAGAGAAGTGATAGAGGAAGTGAGACTGAATAATATTCCTGTATTTCCGAATGCCAAAGCGCGAAAGAGAAAAAGGGAAAGCGAGTTGAAGCAAAAGAGAAAAAGAGAAAGCAATAGCAAAAAGAGAAAAACTGAGAAAGACAACAAAGAGTAACGGATAAATGTTTCTGCGTGTGTATATGACGAAGTGGAGCCAAAATGAGTTCGTCTATTACTAAGCCCATGTACCGTTCAGTTGAATTTTTATTCGACGCTTCTAACCGCGCGCGAGACCCCGGGGGGTTGTGCGCATTTTCAATGACTCTTTTTGTTCCACTCGAATCCACGTGCGTACTTTTTTGACCTTCCCTCACGAGTTACTGCAACCCTTCTGCCTCAGGGACTATGTTTCAACGCTCGACCAGTCGCTTGGAATTTATCACCCTCTTCCTCCCCGTTTTGTCCTTCTGCATTTTTTTTACATTTTTTTCAGATCCATCCTGCCCTCTTTGCCTATATTTTTATTCACTGTACTCACTTCTTCTTTTATTTGAGTAATCTCTTGGAAAAGTTTTATTTATCTATTGTTTTTTGATATAAATATTCTTTTAAATCATATTTATTATTATGATAATTATTAATCGATTAAATATGTATAGAACTAGGTATATCATTGACATTATTCCTTACTTGATGTTCAATAAATGTAATGAAAGAAAAATAGATAATATAGCTATTGAACTAGCTTGATATGCTACAAATTTATTGATTTATTTTTTTAAAACTTGACATTTAAAAAAATAATTAAAAATAAGCAATATAAAATCCTCAAATGTTCAAAATGTTTTATTTTTTTATTTTATTGCATGAAATATGACTGCAATCATATTATTAATTTTTATTTTCTTTCAACCTTTTGTTAGTTTTCTATAGTGTTTTTTCATAGTTTGTTATACTTGTAAACGAATAGTCAGTTTGTTAACTACAAAGAAAAAATTTATTACCACTTGGATCTCTATAAGCGTCCATGTAGTGAGATACACCACTGTCAGGGGTGCTTTCTCGACTGTATGCTGCTGCATGAACTCCAGGTGGTGGAAAACCAACTGGCCTGATTCCAGGACCTCCACTAAAGTTAACTGGTTCGTTTGCTGTTGAAAAGTCGACTGGTTCTGTTTGTTCTTCAATGGGTCTTGGAGCTGGAAATGGTGGACCTACCGGAACAGGAACTGCTTCACCATGAGTCGAGTACTGAGGACTTGGAGCTCCGCTAAACATAATTTAGAATTAGTTTATAGAGCTTACTAAATTGTCAAATATTGATTCTACAACATTGTTGCAAAGTTATACATTCAGTAGTTTAATTATTGATATTTTGCTAGTAAGCAATTTTCACATTTATAATTGAATGAATCTTTTTTTTTATACATTCAGAAAAATAAATTAACATTGAAGTACAGATTATTTATAATACCTGTGTAATCTATTAACACTAAGATCCAATGTTTGGCCTTGTGGACTTGGAACTTGAGGACTTGCAGTCAGATGAGGACTAGCTGCAGCTTGCGGACTACCTCCAACAGTTTGACCACCACCGTATTGAGGGCTTAGACTATTGGAACCATATTGGGGTGCTTGAGGACTAGTTGATGTAACACTGGACGTTGAAAGATCCATCACCGATCCTCCAGGCGAAGTTGGAGGTCCAGATTTTTGCATTTGCACTTGAGCAGTTGTGACACATTTAACTACAACAATCAATCACAACGTAAATTTCTAGTTTCAATACAATAATACTCACTTCATGAAGAGTGACAACTTGATAAGAGTTTTCATCTTACAAGTTTTCGAAATTTTAATTATTTGCTTTAAAACTTTTTTTTAAAAATATTTTTAATAAGTATTTACAGTCATATAAGTGTATACATTCTTAAAAATCATCTGTATAAAAAAGATTGCATCATAAATAAATTATTAAAAAATTCCTTACCATCTTCAGACTTAATCATAACCCCAGTAGTAGCAGCAGCCATGGCCATCTGATGTTGTTGTACAGCTGCAGCTTCTTGATGATAAACTCTTTCTTGTTCATCAGGAGTCATGCCAGTTTGACCAAGATAATACATATTAGCTCTTAGATGCAGCTGTTGCTGCTGCTGTTGTTGCTGTTGTTGAGCTGAGAAAGGAGAACAAGCTTGAGGATCATATCTTTCATATCCTGAAGTAGCACCAGGATCATACGGTCTATGATTCGCTGCAGCGACATTATCATAACCCCGTGCAGCATTAACGTCATTGGAATATGTCACGACTGGTCTCGTGATACCATTACTAACACTAGGATGCAAATAAGCTCGATGTTCAGCATTACGATGATGATAAATATCTTCATTAGCAGTTGAAGAAGCTGTATTCATCATTGCTGATTCATAAGGAGATCTTTGAGAAATTTGGTGGGTCATTCTTGAATCCTCGACTATTGGCATTGGGTACGCAACTGTTGGTTGCATAGGTAACACGTGATGAGCTGGATGTTGACCTGAATCAAGAACACATAAATTGTTACTTGTTTACTTGTACGAGAAATAAAACAATACAGTTTATCTTTATAGCAGAAACTGAAAAATTGACAATGCTACATAAATCTTACCAGGGTGATGAATTGGTGGCATTGACCTCGACCCCATAGCTTCCATTGAAGACATTGATGAAGAATTTGAGTCTTGATTTAAATATGGATCATACGCCTGCCTGACACTTGGAGGCGGTGGTGGTGGAGGAGAATTAACACGACAGGACGATGTATCCTCCGTTTTAGGTACCAGTAATTCTGGATTTGATGGATTTCTTCCTGGTATACTGTTGCAACAGGAAGTAGGAGTTGATACTTCAGATTTAGGAACAATTTTTGTATTAGCACGACTAGAATTATCTTCAGGAGTCTTTGGAGGTTTGTTTAATCCAGGAGCTTTGGAATAATAATCATAAGTTGGAGAGCCAACTACTGGTTTTGATTCCTGAGGTGTTGAACTGTAGACTGAATAGCTTTTAATGTCCATAGATCCTGGCAGAAGATTTGTGCTGATGAATTCTGGGGGTATACCTGATACTGTTCAAATAATAAAATAAACCATTAATAAATAAAATTATTAAGCCCTATAGATCAAATTATTTAAAAAAGAGTTTTAGCTTAGTCATTGTAACAGGGAAGACTATTTATCTTGATATTATAAATGGTGAGTTCAAAAGTAATTTCTTGAATAAAATTAATCCAGTAATGTATACTTTTTTAACTTGATTCTTTCATGCAGAAGATATTTAAAAGTGAAAGAAAATACATCCAGGCTGCATATTTTTGGACCAATGGGACAATTTTCCTTACCTTGGGACTTATGTCTTGCATCACGAGCTGCTTGTTTATTAGCTGCAGCGATAGGACAACCCGAAAGACTTCTATGAGTGTTGCGATTAGAGCTGACATGACCACGACCATTGCAACCAGGCGTTGGGCATTTCAAAATAGTCTCATGCATCGCCAGAACTGTGAGAATCCAGACGTAGTCCGAAATTACAGATACATCACGAGACACACGCAGAATCGAAAGGTTTTGTATTTCATCATATTTTTTTACTTTATTTATTTAAACATTATTTTCTAACAATTAAGTAAGTTAATGATTTATTTAATTATTTATTAATTATGAACGTGACGCGCGGGAGGTACATGAAAGAAAAACGAAAACACGATGAAAAAGATTTTAGAAATGAAAAGAGTGTGGTCAATAGGGTGAAAAATAAAATATATTGACGAGTATGACACAAATTGATGTGTAGCAAGATTTCTAAATACCTACGTAGAAAAAAAAGTAGTTTTCTGAACAGAAAGTGATTGTAGTAAATTGAACGAATCTAAACAATTCATCAACAATTGTTTCTATTTTAACATGGAGTTCCTAGATTGAAGATAAATATTAGAGATGATTTTTAAGTACTAGCTATTTCAAATCAAGTGTTAAAGATTTTTTTTTACCAATCTTTTTAAACTCTGAGTATTTATTTAATGAACATCTCCAACAAAATAAAAATTTATGAATGAACATTATTTTTTTTTTCAATAGAATTACGTCTCTCAGTATGAAGCGGGTAGAGAGTAATACAATCCGGATGTAAATTTATTTAAAGAGTAAAAATAAATTTAAATACAACTAGGGCATGAATCGATCTTACACTCTCGATCACGCTTATATGAATAAAAAAATACAAAAAAAAAAGAAGACATAAATGATAAAATGTTATTAAATATTTCCTTTCATTGATTCTGCGTATGCCGGGTCTCTTTCGGTCGTCGTCAGGATTTCAAGCTTATGTTTACTAACTTTTCTACTTTATTCATGATCACAATTTAATTTAATAAAAAAAGAAAAGAAAAAATATAAATTCACAGCTATTTATCTACTTAATATGTAAAAAGTGATAAGTGTAATTTTGTTCCGTGATCTCCAAGTTGATTTTCTTCTCCTCATAAAGAAGATGGAAGAATAAAAGGTGGTAATATAAAAAAAAAATTAAGCTCTCTACCCCGCATAACATAAAAGCACAAAGAATCATCATACGTGTGAGTAGATTATAATAATATAAATATTTACAAAGTGTAAACAAACAGACAGATAAATAGATAAATATTGAAAAATAGTATTAAAAAAGAAGTTAAAATAGAATATTGAAAAAATAGAAAAAAACATTAGTTATTTAAATAAATAAATGAGTAAGTGATATAGAAAAAAGAAAAACAAAACACGCACGCACATACGCTCCCACGCGCACGCAATTTTGACAAAATTTAACCACAGTGATTGTATAATTAATTATGCAATGCCGTGGGAAAATTATTTACACTCTTGGCAAATACCTACTTGTGCAAAAATCAATGCACTAATTTTTCTACTAATGCTTTTTAATTAAATATTCACTTACTTTCAGGCGTTAGTTTATCCTTCCTTGGACAACCAGATAAACTAAAAAAAGTCATCATCATTCGTCAGTTCATTTTATAAAAATTAGAAATGACTAAAGTACTTATTAAAAAAAAAAAAGATTAACATCAAAAAGCAATATAAAGTTTGCAAATTATTGAATAATAAAATGAAGTTTTTTATTATCTGTTAAAATAGTCTTATTTAATATTTTTTTATTAAATATAGACCACTTTTATTCATTTTTATAGTTCATTGATAAAACAAAAGAAGTTGATAAATTTTTTTTTACTCATTGTCAATCGTTTATTTATAATTAAAAATAGCTTTATAATCATTTATAAATTTGTTTTACCTACTACAACATGAGTTCAACCAAGGTAAATATAATTATTTAAAAAAAGGTGAAATATAACAAAGTAGTTTAATATAAGTAAATAATTAAAATTTATTTATCTATAAATATGACTTCAATATACTAGACATTTTTTTATTTTCAACCAATCATAAATTTATCTTTTTTGCATTAAAATGTTTTAAAATAAGATAACACATAATATTTCAAATCTTAACAAAAAATTATTACTCATGATTTAATTAAAAATTATGGACAATATTATTGTTATTATTAGCACTATTTTTTACGTTAGTTTTTCATTATTAATTACCAAGAAACCATTATTTAGGTCAATTGTGGAATTAAAAATAATAATGATCGAGTTGATTAAAATTAATTACTATTTGTAAGCAATAGGGTACGTAAACGAATAGATTGGAAGCTGGAGGAAGAGCAAATCATTCGAGTGGGCAAATGGTCAGTTAATTATTGGTAATTGCTCACCTGCGATGGTGCGAGTAGAGTCCGGTCACGTGACCTTGGCCCGTACAACCTGGTGTCGGGCACTTGTTGCCCTCTGAAACACAAATCAACCCTGAATTAGTGCTTTCTGACACGAAAAAGAAGTATTCAAGTAACGCTTACACACAGCATTATCTTGAAATAAATATCACAAAAATTCATTCATTAAAAAAAAAAGGAAAAAAATTCAATGTACCAAGATAAATAAAAATGACCAACAAAAGCGTTTTTTCAAACACGTGTTTTATAAAAATTTTATTAAAAATATTTTTTTCTTCATTATTCACAGGGCTTAATGATCACGATACCTCGATACATTTACACTAGACCATGATATGTGTCTGTGATGTTTTGCGTGGTTTGTGAACGATTGCGTGACAGAAGAATTACATGTTAGAGGGTATAAAACAGGGACCACGGCGACATCGCCACGACTTAAACTTCATATTCACGCTTGTACGAATAATGTTAGCGATTTTCAAAATCCTAATAATTCAGTTGATCAAAGAAGGATCAAGGAAGGTTTAAATGAGAGATCTTTATTAAAGTGGAAGGGAGTGTCTCCTTTTTTCAGGTAAGTACATCACGTATGGCTGAAAATAAGTAGTGGAAAGAGGAGGATAGGGGATAGAGTTGGTTAGCAAAAAAAAAGGTTTATAGGAGATATAGAAGTAAGAGTAGAAGTAGAAGCTTCCCGAGGGGTTGAACTAGCACTTTTATAAACTTTGTCGTGTACTAATCCCTCCGGCTCTGATCCTATCCCTTCTCTAGCCTTGAATCGACGGCCATGACGGTGAAACTTCATCAGGCCGTCATTTCGCGTAGCTAAGAGTCGATCCCTGCTTAGATGCCTTCAAATTCTCATCTCTTTCTCTCTTGCCAGAAATTAACTATCTTTTTCTTTCAGTACGTACACTATCCTCTAACGGGCTACCCCTGCAAATTGGATTACGATACGTGACGTCATTAGCAGCTTGCTTTATTTATGCCTTGGAAGATGAACACTGACACGGAAAATAATTACAAGAAAAAAGATGCTGTTAAGACTGCTGATATTTCGAATATTATTATGAAAATATTTGGTTCTTCTTTAGGCAACTGATCATCAACAAAACTAATGAGGATTTCAATAATATTTTTTAATTACATATTATTGAAACAATATAATTTTTAAGAGTTGAAATAATTATTTAATGAATTGTGATTCTAGTAGAGTTTTAGTGTTTGACAGAATTGGAAAAATTGATAAAATTTCTGCAGATTGTTTATCATCATCAGAATTTCTTTAGAAAAAAAGACTTTTTGAGTTTTCTAAGTCATTAAGTGAGCTTTAATATGTATAAAAGGATTTAGACTAGTTTGGAAATTATTATCTCACAGAATTGCACAGAGCTCTTCAAGGGATTACCAATTATGTAGCTTTTTAGTGGAGATCATTAATGCCAAAACTTTATGGTTAAATTCGGAAATATTATATCATATATAGATGATTGTAATTATTTAGTTGAAATAGCTGATTTATAAATTAAAAAAAAACTTTATTTTATTAAAGATATCACTTCAGCAATTGGAGATTAGAAAAATAAATTTAAATGGTAGGAATAAGATCAAATGTGAGAGCTTTAGCTTACAATTAGACTTATGACCAGAATTTAGTAGTGATATATAAGCTAAATCTATTATTAGAAATATAATAAAGAAAATAGTTATTAATAAATCTAATTCAATGCTAACGTGGTGATGTAATAATATTATACTTTCAAATTTATTAGAATCGTTTTTACCATTAATGTTTCATAAATCATTACAACAGCTTATTGTTGGTATTTTTATTAATTAAACAAGCTTGTTTATTAATCTTGAGATTACCTCAAGAATACTTGATATAAATTATAATCTAAGAATAAACAACTCTTTTTTTTCATTACCATGTCAACTAGATTTTATTTTGAGTAGTATTAATGAAGATTAATACTCTTGGTTACATTTTTTCTGGTTATTAAGTTCACTTCTCAAATATTGTTTTATAATCATTAATGCCACTTTGTTAGACTTGCAATGAAATTTGAAATTCCAATTAGTTGTACTGAAATAGATTTTAAATTTAAAATTCGATTAGTTTTTAAGTAGTTGATTATTCAGGGACATAAAAATAATTTTTGCATTATATTAATAATTATTATTAAAAAGTATGTTATAAATAATACTATATGTTTAATTTTTTTTATTTATAGAATCAACAAAGTAACTCTGTTGATCATCAATATATATTAACAACAGTTGCAAGACTCGTGTTATCAAGTTTTGATGGAAAACTTTTTTTTACTATTATTGTACTTCATAAAAACCATCTAAATCCAATCACATTTTATTCACAGTATCAACTAACACATAAGAATAAAAACACTGCTTACACCAATTTTTGTTAATTTCCCAACCGCAAATCAAATTAATTACTAAAATTTTGGCTGTTTTTTTTTTCAACTACAACAAATATTAGCAAACTGAAGGAAATGAGATTAATAAATTAGCAAGATTTAAAAAAAAAAAAGCAAGAAAAATCCCTTGAGTAAGTAGAGAGTAATGGTTCCGGTCAACAAAATGAATACCGGCACGCGCTGTTCTTTCCGGACGTCTGAATAGACTTGTAACGAGCCGGACGGGCCGAGATCTTTTTTTTCCAAGTGAACGAGTCGGAGGTAGAGCAAGTAACGAGTTAGACAAAGAGCAGATGATATGAGAATTGAAGAAGAGAGGGTGAAAAAGATTCAGTAGGGTTGGGAAAGAGCATGATGTCGAGGGATCAACTGGGTGAGAGAGCGTGGATGAGGTTGAAAAGCAAAAGGCTGAGAGGGATACCAAGTGTGTAATAGTGTTATTTCGTAGCCATTTCATGTGAGGGTCACCGCGGGAAAGCGAGAGGTGTACATAAACACCAAGATTGTTTTATTCATTCCAGTCTGATTAGAGAGAAGCAACCGGACGCGTGCCAGATGAAATACTACCTTTTTACAACCCCCAAATTTTTTTTTCATTCGTGCGTTTAATCGGATTAGAATCGATACTACTCAATATTATCATAGTTTAAGGTGCTTTATTTTTATCCAGATATCGAAAGGGAGTGGAAGCGTAAAATTGAGTTACAGGGTAGTTTATTTTTTATTGACTAAAAGAGTTGAGTATACGGGGGTAGCCTTTTGTGGCCGACGGATTTCCCGATAGTGGTTTTATGGCGTGTCAACACGCTTCTCTATTGCAAGAAGGAAACGCCTGAGACTCAATCATGCACGCAATCACGCTAAAATATTCTTTTTTTTCTCTATACCTGTACCTTTGTGCGAAAAGATTATATGCGATTTTGCTTAAATAATTTACAAAAAGGAGAAAAAATGAAAGATTAAAAAAAAAATTCTTTAACCAGGTCGCACGCTAATTCGATCGTCACGCCTTACTAATCTTTTATATTTCTAATTTATCTTATTTATATACTAGAGTCTAACATATTTCATTACTTAATGCTCTTTTTTTTAAATGTGGATTGAATATTATACAAATGATTATCATGGGAGATTCAATAAACGTCAAGATAAAATAATTGGAATGAACGTGATAGCTAAAAGATTGGACAGGATAGTAGTCTAAATGTTTTCTCCTTCGAGAGAGAGAGAAAACACTAAAGAGATAATGAAGGACGAATAGAAGCTACCAAAGATGTAAGGGTGGTAATAAGGCAACTCTGACTGCAAGAAGGGCAATGCTAGTCACGTTTCCACTTGCTGACAGCTGTGGCTTATACGTATGACGCGATATCAACCCCAAATTTCCTCAACTATCAGCCCTTCCTTTCGCCTTACATCGTAGAACGCAGGAATGCACTCAAGCTAACATCATCAATGCCATTTCTTGCTCACCCCATAATAGATTTATTTCTCAATTATAGAAAAAATATTTGTAACAGTTTTCTAGACCTTTTTTTTGTAAATAATTGAATTTTTACGCCAAACTTGGAACTTTTAAGCCAATATATGAGAATTGAAACATTAAAGGGTTCAAAATGAGTACATAAGGATATGAGAAAACCAAAAAGGAGAGAAAGGACCTTGATTTCGACGTTTGAGTCATCACCCTCTTCGTAATTATTGATTTTCCGGCCTGGCCTAACTCTCCCTAACTTTATACAGACAGAGAAGGTCCAGAGAGAAGGAGGGAATCATTTGAAAATGTCTTTTGTGCCCTTTCATTTCTATCTCACAAACTACATAACGCACGAGCAACCCTCTCATTTGTTTTAAGACTCCTGACTTTCAAGTTAAAAATCCTCACCTCTACCAATACTCGATGGTGACATGGACATTCCCGGTCTGTTGCCATCAAAACTGCTTCTATCAGGCATCTTCATTACGTCTGCTTGATTTGTACATGATGTAGTAGAAACATCTTCAATAGCAGAAGGACATGTGGTTGTTGTTGTTGTAGTGTTGGTGCTGATATTACTAGCAATGGTATTTACCGGATTTCCATTACTGCTAACTTGATTACCATTATTTTTATGATTATTCCCAGCAGTGTAACTACTCGTAGAACTGTTACTACTTCCACCAGAGCTACTGACCGCGGAAACACTCACAACACCTTCTCTAGCAATATCTTGGATAGCAGTTGCAGCTCTGGACCCAATTCCAGCTGGCTGTAGGATGGTATATTGTTTAGATGAATTTGTATCCGGGCTTGTTACAGGTGGTAATCCAGATCCTGATGATTTATTCACAGAAAGAGATCCGGGAGTACCTACTTCTCTAACGCCATGTTCCTCTTTTGGTGATTTCAACTGGAGAAGCGACACCGACGAGTGCTTCTCGTCTGCTGAGGGCGGGATCACTGGCTGAGGGACTGGCATTACTGGACCCGGTACTGGCGTGGGAAAGCCCACAAATGTTGCTGATGCTGGATAGGGTCCAATTGGTGGACTAGATGTTGAAGCTGAGACTGGAGGTGGACAAGGTGGTTTTGAATGATTCGTATTTGGTGGTCTGAATGCTGAGGTGCTGGAAAATGCTGATGTTGAGGAATTTGGTGATGATGTAGCTGAAGAAACCTTTAATCCTGAGTCAGAATACCTTTGATAATTGGAATAAAGATTATGCTGAGGTTGTCTAAGTGAGTTGGGAGGTGATCCATTACTTTTACTTAATCGATCCTTATCTTTATCTTCAGATCTATCTTTTTCAGATTCTTCTTTTTCCACAAGTGGATCTGACATATCAATTTCTAATTCGTTTGATGAATCGTCAACAAGTTCATTGAAGTCTGGAGGATCATAGCGAGAGTATTTATCATTATGTCTGATTTGACCAGACATTTTATCATTTCTATCTTTATTTATTGATAGTCTTGACATTGATCTCATTTTGTTAAGGTCAGTCTCCATTGAACAATGCATTTGAACACTATTTGGATCCATTTTCATCATGCCATCCGAGTCTTTTTTCTTCATTTGTTGAAGTTGTTGTTTGTAGATGTCCGATTTATTTTGTTGATATGATCGCCTATCATGTTGACCTCGATAAGTTATTACATCCTTTAAGGTTTCATTACTAGTATTTGAAGAACTAGACATAGATGAAGGACTCATTTTAGGATTTTCCTTTTTTTCTTCAAATAAATTTTCAAAATTTGATTCGTATTTATCTTCATCAGAGTTGCCTCGTTGATACATCGAACCACTTGGACCAGGCCAACTACCCGATAAACTTTTTAAAGCTGCTTCAGTCTCTCTAATTAAAGTCTCATCATCTTCAGGCTCTTCACAATTTTTACTAGATTTTCTAGCTGGACTGCCGGAATTTCCCGAAGTGAACACTCGTTTTTTTTGTGGTAAGGACATATTTTTATCACTGTCTATTCCTTTTCGCACTTCATCATCACGTAAAATTTTTCTTCGACGTTTAGCCGCTGCCTCAAAACTTTCCATGTCCTGTTGTCCACTTTGATTGACACCAACACCAACACCAATGGTACCACAGCCTTGATGAAGTGGCTTTTTGCCGTTTAACGGCGATGTCGATTGTTGAATCGGCTTTGGAATACCCGACTCTGCTTCCAGCTTCCGTTTTTTGAGATGTGCCATCGCATTCTGACCACCTGGCACACTGGTCAGTTCCACCCTGGAACACAAAAATCCCAGGTGAACTCAGGTATTCACTCCATTATCATCCTCATTAATTCATCATCATCCCCATCAATTCATCATCATTTAATCATTATTATCATTATCATTGTTATTATCATCAGCACGTTGTCATCACCATTCTCTTCCTTCCTCTTCTTGCACACAAAAATGAAAAATTCAACAAATTGTGAGCCTACCTAAAAGTGTTTTTTCTTTATTTCATTTACTACAATAAACCAGCACAATTGAACACACACACACTCGTTCTTTTTTACCCTTTTTTCCTGTTTTCTCTTTTTGTTTGACAATTTTATAAAGGAGAGACACGCGACAGCCCTTCACCGACGTGGTGCTCGCGAGCTACTGTGTCTTATATTGAAGAAAAGCGCGTTGGGGTAGTTGTTGGCGGGGGGTTGTGACGATCATACAAGCATTCCAAGCGTGTGGGGGTTGCTTTTGATGCACGTGCGCGTGTTCAGAACCAGCGCATTTCAAACTTGACGCCGAAGGTGGGGGGCGGGTTCTGCGCACTGTCCACCCCTTAAATTCTTGGTCCCACTTACTTTCCAGAGGGGATGGATCACCCCCTCTGAAAGATCTCTTTACGTTCTATGCAATACTCAAGACTTGAGAAAAAAAAGTCGACCGCTGGGAAACTCACATCTAAGATATACATTTTTGCTTTTCTTCTAAGGTCAACAGTCATATTGATTACATAATAATTATATTTTCAAAATTGCATTACTCATTGATGATTGATGAATAGCATCGGATGATGAATTAATGATTTTTTACTTGCGTATAATAGCTCTATATACATAATTAAAACTTGGTCAAAGTATCTTTTTATATTAAACTGGTTATTGAAAGTTGTTTTTGATGAAAATTAAACAATAAATGATAAAGTTTTCAAGTTATTAAGTAATTATTTAATCGTGTTCAAGTTTTGGAGTGAAATGTTTCTATAATTTCTATTGTATAGAAGAAATTTATTTCACTGATCATCACTTGAAAAATACTATGGATTCTAGGAATAAAGGATTAATGATCTGTCAATTGCAAGTCTATCGATATTAAAAGCTTCTTTCACCCATCATAAAATCCAATCATTAATTAGAGTTTGGTCAAGTTGATTGGGGTCGAAAAATACTCGAGAAGGGTGATATGAACGGATTGATGATAGCCAGTTTAGAGAACGAGAATTAGATAAACTAAGATCGAAAATTTTCAACCGGATCAACGTCAGCAACCTCTTCTTCTCTCTAGGATTCAGCTTTGAAAGCTTCCCTTAAACCTCAGTATCCCTTTCTTGAATCTCCTCTATCCTACTTTCTCTTTAACTTATAGGGTTTCACTTCTCTGTCAGCCCTTCAAACCACCACCTAGGAAGTGAGTTTAGAGCCAGGAGAACTCTTGAAGTATATATACGGTAGATCACGAAAATCGTAAGTTAAATCGCACCGTTGGCTCAAGACATTATCACTTTTATTTGCGGAGCCAGCAAGAGCGCTCGACCGCGTAGAAACTCAGACTTTACGTGGAGAAGAGGAAATGAAGATGAGGGTAAGGAGAAAGATGGGAAAAGAGAAAGATGTAGGGATCGATGAGTCCACCCTCCAGGATTCTATGCCGATTTTCTCTCCCTTTCTCTCTCCCTTAGTCTACTGCGCTCTTTTGCCCTTCACCACGCGAGACCCATGGGGAATAATTAGAAAGTAACCCCTCGCCATGTACGCCAGAGTACGTGATAAGACGATGAACAGATCTTCGATGACGAAGCAAACCACGTCAACAAAGTGCAAAATATTTTTTCAACCAAGTCAATACACTATTAATTTATCAAGACTTTGATATTTTTTTGATAATTAAAGCAAATATTTCATCAAACTTGGTACGAATTTCTTGAGTTCAAGTATTGATTTAATTTTAGAACAATTGATGGAGTTTATTATTAAAACAGAAAAAACCTCTGATCAAAAATAATTGATGTAATGAATTCAAACAAACAATGAGCTTTCTTGTCATGATTATGCAAGCTGGTATAAGTTAAAGACCCTCGAATATAGCAAATGCATATTGAATCTCGTCAATTAATTAGCAAGCATATAGTCTTGGCCAGACTATGGTCTAAAGTACACGATGAGATACCGTCGTCTTTACCACCTTCTCTTACTCTACCAAGGATTACAGTATTAAGCGACGTCACGTCACTAGAGTCTAAAGAGCCTCCTTGGAACTGTGTTCCAAGAGATAGCCCAAAGTTCAGCACCCACCCTCTTCTTTACCACCACACCTTACTAAGCAGCACCTCGACCTTCCTTCTCGTGCCCTCGACAATTCCAATTAGATAAACCACCACCGGATCACAGCTCTTAGCGGTTAGGCTCGCCCCGGATTTCCTGTTGAGGCGCCTCGTCCACTCCATCATTTACCTCCTCTGCTTATACTCATGGCTCTTCAATTCTCATCTCTAATTCGCGATTCTAAAGCTTTTCCTTCATGATATCTATGTTAATGTCAGATCTTTCTTAAAGCTTGATGGCTTCAAGAGCAATTAAAGTACTGATTGAAACCTAGATGTGTTTGATTTCAAGTTTTGATGATGGAATTATTTAATTGTGGATTTTATTTGGAATTATTTTGAAAAATAAATTGATCACAAAGTGTGATAGAACTGGTCAATAAATTAATAGGGAAAAAATGATTAATTTTTTTCTTTTGGATATCACTTCTTCATTATTTAATTTGACATCATATCACAAGTCAGCTGATTTTTATCTTTTATCAGAAAATTATTAATTAATTTTTTTCCACTGGAAACATTAATAAAGATCTTGATTACAATCAGGTAGAGATTTAAAATTCGAGTCAAAAATATTTTAATACTTAAAAAACAGTTCAATCACATTGACAGTTTTTTGACTAGAAAATCCCAAAGAGTCTTCACTTTCTTATAATGTCAGAGGGTCGTATGTCTTTTTCTCACCGTGAAGAAGTGAGAATATAGGATGGGAAGGTGGAAAGGACTGGGAGCCGGATAATTTAAGGCTCTCTCACGCGTGGATAATGGGCGAGCTTGGCTAATGCACCCCACTTGGCACCACGTGGATACACATGACTCGCCTTCTAGCGACTCTCTTTTCGCACTTTGCTCTCTTTCCAAGCTCAACACTTGGGGAATCGCAACTGCAACCCCGCGACTAATGTATGAGCATAAAATAGAGAAGACCCTCTTAGCCCTGCAGCAAGAAAAACAACCCCATGCTTCTAGATGTACAGTTTTCCAAGGGGGATGAACCTTCTTGCCTATAAGTACTTGTATGACATTTGGATGTAAATTGAAGAGGTTTTTATCAATTTTAATCATCTTTCAAGTATCTTGGGACAGATTTTAAAAGAAGAAAAAGCCTAACGAGTCATGAGAGGACATTGGACTCTTGACCAAGGGGTGAAATCATCCCTTGGCTAACGACACTAAGATTGGCTTTATTTTCCAAGGGGACATGTTCACTTCCCGTTGTCCCCATACTTCAAGTATCTGCAGAATGGAACATATCGCAAAACTAGCAGGCAAGTTTTTGAGGTATAAAAGATTTTAAAGGTTGTGTTGAGCGGAGGTGCTTTTTGTGTTAAGGAAAAAGAAGAAAATTCTGTGACTGGGACAGCTGCCCACTTGGACATCACTCTCGTTCCGGCTCCGGAGAATCATCCCTCTCTCCCCTTATCTGTACTACTAACAACGTCAAAATTTTTTAAGCTTTTCCTTCTTTTCATTTTTCTTTTCTTACAAACTGACCAATCGATTTTTTTTCCTCAAAAATAGTTCTAGTAGAACTTTATCTATTCAAGAAAATTGAATTGGTATCAAAATGCTGGAATCTTTTATAAAACATCTTTTTCTATTTTTAAATGTTTTGATAAAAAAATTTGTATGATTTTTTTTCTGGACTTAGAGAAAATATTTAGCTGATCATTTTTACTTTCAGAATTAAAACAAAGCAGTATGAGGCCTGGGGACAGGTTGGAGGAAGATCAAGAGGGTGTTGGAAGATGTGAATGAGAAAAGTACACCAAGAGAGAAAGAAAGAGATAGAAAGTGGGAGAGACATAAAGGGGGAAGGAGAGGTATAAGGGATGTGTTTTACCGAGGGATACTTACACCATCCCTTCGCGGCACATATTTTCATATAACAAAACCATCTGCGTGCCGGGCATAACAAATTTCCACTGATTTATAGGCAACCAAGCAAAACCAAGCCGACAAGAAGAAGAGGAAGTATACCCAACAAAATAACGCAAAAAATTCCAGACAAAAGACTTCAAAGAATGTTTATAAATAATCCTGATAATAACTTTTAAATAATTTATTATTAATTTCTACATGATCGTGGGTTATTTCGTGCATCAAGGATTTATCTGGCGTCTAAGGATATCCGGAATAGCCATAGATGGTGCTGAGACCCTAAAGGGTTATTCAACGGGTGGTGAAGACGAGTGTACGTGCTAGAAGCTCGAGTGCATGAGATGGAATCAAGGGGTAGTGGTAAGAAGGGATTGAAAAGCTTTTGGACCAACCGACGACGGACCTCAGCTGGTCGATAACGTCATAGTGACAGGGAGACTATTGTTATCATCTTTATTCTCATGCAGCAAACATTCTGAATGATACCATAGACCACAAAACTCATGCTAATGAATCTCCTCAAACTATTATACAAATGTTATTAGTGATAAATAAAAGTGCAAAAAAAATTATAATTTATGTTCGGGTTGTACTTATGGTACTTCCTTAACTTTTCATTAATGTGAGTTTGATCATTTACGTGACTTTTATTACTTTTTTATCAAGAAAAGAAAAATATTGTTTACTTATTACATATAATATCATAGAAAAAACTTCATTCCAATCAAAAATACTATGCTTGATGATTATAAAATCATTTTCAATTGTTTGTTACTCTTAATAATTAATCTTAATGTAAAAGTATTATTTAC